GAACAGAGAGATGAAAGGATAAAGGATGGGGGTGGGTGACACTTTTGTTGGCTTTTTGTCAAATATCCACAGGGAGCCAGAGACCAGTCTTGGCCACCAGCCAGAAGATACTAAACAACAGCATGACTCAGGACTTGGAGAAGTGTCTCTGTGTGCATATGGGCGTGCAAGAACATAGAAAAAAGGGTTTGCTTGTATAAATACACACAAAAGCTTGTTTCTTTGTTTTGTTTTGATAATTAGTTTTAATTGATTTCCACACACATTTTAAATAAATACAAATAGCATTTTGAAAACTAAAACTCAGCCTGTAGATTACCAGCAACATTAAGCCATTTGAACCAGATTTCTCATCATCTTAAAAGCGCAAGATGGCACTTAGACACTTCTGGGGTAAACTTCTCAGAAGCAGTGGAGCATGCAAGGAGAATAAACTAGCATCCAATCACTTTCAAAGGCAAACAAAGACAGCCAGATCAATCTGATTTTCAACGAGCTTTTATTGAGGCAGCAACATATGGGACGGTTCCAACATGATAGAGCAGGTACGGCAGTGCCAGTGGGCAATGGCCGTGGGCACATTCCCAGTGCTCTCTATATTCAGGTTCCAAACAACAGCTTGGCACCAAAAAACTGGCAGACAGATAACAAGATGGTGACATCAAGAATAAAAAATCAAATTACAGATGATTATCTGTTGTCACACTAACACTCATACAGGGTAAATCTACAGGACACTTTGGCTTTTTGGGGTATTATTTAACAAACAACAAATAATAATACAAATATATATATATCACTTTTGATACATACTGCAATATTCAGCCATTGGAAAATATTTTATGTGAATTTAGATTTGAGCGCACAAAAATAAATCCTGACAATTGTCAGCATTATTTCTGACATCATAATCCATATGCTGATTATTATTCACTCATGGCATCTGCTGATGTGACTAAAAGATTAGTGTTTCCAACTTTGCATGTCATGTAAGAGTGGTGCATGTGTGCATGTCTGTGACTGACAAACACAGAATATCTGCTTCAGCGAGGGAGACTATAGCTGATAGTGTTCATTATCAGCGTGCTGGAAAAGTGGAAGAAAAGGATGGAAAAGGCAAATGGACAGGCAGGTTGACAGAGGCATTTGTCTGTCAGTCAAAGGTTAGACATGACTCATCCAGGCTAAACCTGCTTCCTCCACACAGCTGTCAGCAACCCTGCTCATCCTTCTGGCAAACACATGGGAAATCCATGTGAGCAAAATATGAACTAAATGAAAAGCAGAATCCCAATTCAGACACACTGTTGCTTTGCCTCTATTCTGCACACATTTTTGCCATTTAAGGCAGTGTGCTTTAAAATAGGAAGCTGGAAATGGTGCAAGCCCTGAGGCCCTTGTGTGATATGTCTTTGTTTCATATTTAGGGTTTACATGAGCTTAAATAATGTGGTTATTGCCATGTTTTTGTAGTAATCTAATTGTTTAAATGTCATTTAAATGGAAAACTTAATATGCTTAATCTGGATAAGGTAAATTAAGGAAAGCCTATCAAACTGGATACAAAGAGTTTCTTTGAATAAATATTATTACCAGTGCATAAGTCATACCAAGTACAAGAAATGTTTGTTTAAAATGAGACTTTGGCATTGGGTCAAAAGGTGTAGACCTGGTGTAAGGGTTTAATGACCAGATAGGTAATCATACTGTTTCCATAACACTTCTCTGTGCCCTTTTTAGACTATTGCTAATTAATTAATTTATCGGTAGGCCTTATATTGATAACATTTAACCCTAGTTTTATCCTTCCTTTTTTAACGAAGCAGGGTTCAAAATGAAGTGTCTCAGGTTCATTACATGTGGGCAGCATTTATGGGACACCACCTAGCTCACTGTTGTGGTGCACTTGGCTGTTATCACCACAGCAGACTCTCTTGACTACAGTTTTTCTTTAACCACAGCCCATAAATGACAATTCAAAACCAGTAGAATTTATTTTATTTTACAGAAAATTAATCTTCTTAATTTTCCTCTATTAAAGGAAGGACAAAGTTTGTGTTCATTGCACATACAATTAACATTGTTGTGCATGTTTTTAAACCACAACAATTAATGTAAATTTGATCATTAAAAATAGGCTGTATGCATGTACATATGAGCATCTACAGAATTTAGATAGAATACTTCATTTAGTTATTTAGTCGTCATTTAGTCGTTTAGTTATAGCAGCTGATTCAAATTTAAGTCTAAGATAGCCAAAGCACAGAATCATTTTACAGCATCCTTTGGTCACCCATGGGAGGCACCGACTTTTTTAACAAAACTCCACACAAAAAGGTCAAGCCACAAAAGGCAATGTCAAAATGCCAAAGTGTTTCATAGCCGCCTTCGATGTTGGCAGAGTCTGACAGTAGAATGATAGATACAGATTAAGAGTGTGTTCTAACTGTCTGTCTAAATGACACAAAAGACTCCTCTGGCTATTCTGAGATGTCAATGTGAGTGATATCAAAGAGATAGTTTGGATCTTTTGAAGTGGGGTTGTATGAGGTTCTTATCTATGGTCAGCGTACTACTACAGTAGATGGCAGTCAGCACGGCCCAGGTTTGAGAAGCTGACAGGAATATCGGCATGAAAGCTAAGCAACAGGCAGTAGCAAAACAAATTTTAGCCACCTAAAAAAAAAATCTGTATCACTTTAAGTATACACTATATTTAGAATATTTTCAACACTTTACCTTGCTATCAGACAGCCCATTCTAACAAGAAACTGAGGTTGTGATGTGAGTTGTGACTCTGTGACAAAGACAGTAATTTAACCTTGCATTCAACATGGGAGTTGCCGGTCAACTGTTGCTTCTATCAGTTTGTTTGTGTTATTGTGTAAGTTCTGTGTTTTAAAGGGTTATTTCAGATTTACAAAGTCACACAATAACACAAACAAATTTACTGATCGAAGTCAAAATATTTCATTTTTTGAATAGATCAGACTAACTGTACAATATTGAATTGCGTACCACCAGTTTTTTTGCACCTCATCATACCACGTTGAATCACATTGTTTTGAATCGTATTGAGTCAAATCACACTGCATTGCAATAGGGGTGAATTGTATCATATCACATTGATAGTTGTTTGATATTTGTCTTCAATGTATCGGATTGTTGGCAGTGCAGCAGACGCACATCCCTATGTGTGCTTTAAGATGACTTGCTGTCATCTCTGTGCTCCCAGACATGATGACTCATCACAGGTATGACAACTGTTTTGGTTGAGGCAGAGAAAGCAGAAACATTGACAGCAAGTAAAAAAGTGTGTATGTCGATAAGTGCGTAAGTATGACTGTGTTTGTGTAGTCATCATGCCAAAAAAGTGACAACCAACTTTTTTTGAGTGTGCTTACTGGCAGCCCAAGGCTTAGCCACAGGTGTATGTCACAAACAATCGTTTTGCTGACAGAACTGGTTATTAATATTTAGACTGTTGCTGCTTCATATTGAGTGATACAGACAGAATTATGTAGGGCTTGAGCTTAAATCAGTGAAATCTACAAGAGGCAAAAGGACACTAGTAGAATAGAGACTCAATAGGGAAAAGATTACCAAATCTGCAAGCAAACAGCTTGTACATGTAACGGATGACGCAGAGGCTAAGAATGATCTTGGGCTAAGCTTCTTTGTGGACTATTCATTTAGAATTGCAAACACCTGCCTTATATGTGTGTGCTTATACTGTCCAGTCACTCAAAGTAAATCCACAGATTCTAGAAAGTCAGAATGCTGAATTTTCAGTAGTCATGGTATAGGCACTAGGTTACTTTAAACAAGCAAGCGAGAGATGATACTAAGAATTTTAAATACTAAACTGCATTATACTGATCAAATACTATTTAATTCAGCAAAGTCTGTACTCTTGATGAAAGGAAAAAGGACACCTGGACATCAAGCAGCCTGTCAACATAGACGCTGAACAGAAAGTTGATGTCATGTAGTGCACCTGGCTCCCCATCTGGATGTACAGTAGCAACAGGTTTTCTAAAATTCCACGATTCTCGATACCAATTCGATGGAACTATATTATTGAAATGCTTTATTTAAATTATCAAAGAGGTATCATTTGCAATTTTTTTCAGAAGCTTAGCTAGAACAGACTTTGTTACAGCTTGATGCAAAGCTAACAAGAAAAACTTGCCACCCGTAGTAATATTGTATGATTGTTGATGAAGCGCTTGCAACACCGAAGAATATCAAAATTTCACAGCTGATTCAGAACTAGGATTGATGAGCATAATCAGGATCAATAAAATCTAAATGATCCCCTACCCCAGGGAACAGCATGGTAACTGACACAGACAAATAGGGGGCTTAAAGGCAAGCCGGAAATCTTGCAGGTGTGGGAGCAGGTGGGTGCAGACTTCCAAATTCAAACCCCAGAGACTGCCAAGTACAACATGAATGTAGCTCTTCTGATGACACTGGTTTCCTAACAGAAACAGGCATCAATTTTAGATCATTTCTAATAAATTGTACCGCTCCTTCTTAGCATGTTAGTTGTTAATGTTTAGTATTTTACTGTTCTTTGTGATGTGGATCAAGGCTGAAATAAGTAAGCTGTATTAAACACTCCAATAGCCAATACCCAAAGGCCCAAGGAAAGCAGGCAGTGCAGCGACAAATGTGAACCAGGTACACAAAACACTTCAGCCATGTCACTTCTTTGTTTTAGCTGGCCTTACTAAAAGCTAGTCCCTTTTTGGTTCTCTGTCCACAGATCAACACATATTATTTGTCCTCACAGGAGAAAAGTGCACCACATTATAAAAACTATAAAGTGTAGTTGAAAGTTCATTTCCAATTATTGTACAGAAAAACAAATTCCATTACAATTAGAGTATGTGCTAACCGGTTAGCTGGGGAAAACAGCAATAATGCAACAGAATGCTTATATTACCTAAGACACAACACAAAAATTGTTCATATAAAGTAGACAGACTACTGACAACCAACCAATGGGCTAAATTCAACTCAACTCTCTCAACAAAAGGGCTTCACCCCAGCGCACTCGAGAATTTGGAAGAAACACAACAACAAGCACAAAGAGAATAACTACATATTAACGGTCACCTTGCAGCCAGAGGGGGGGACTATGTAAGGAAACCAAAACAAACAATAATCAAAGAAAATATAAACCCTGCCTGCAGAAACTTAGTGGGTCATTCCTTGATATTTTCATACATTTGTGTAAATGGATTACAAAGAATAATCTTTATGTTCAAAGGAAATTATATTGCATTTTTTTGTTTAGTATATAAATTGCCTGTCCTGTGTTCTCCTTTGAGAAGAAAAACCATGCATAAAGCAGTGACGTCAGTGTTCCATCATAGGCAGAGCAGACATGAACACACATCTTGTCCTGCACCTTAGCTTATTGAACGGGCCAAATAAACATTCACCAGGGAGAGTGCAATGCTAACGTCAGTTTGCAAACTGCATTGTTAAATTAGTATTAAAGAGTAGGTAGTGGTACACATACCTACAAATATCACCTCAGTCCTCTTATATGCTGGTGTGGTCCTTATTTTTCAATAGCTATAACACAATGTCGGTCAATGGCATGTAGACTACGGCACAAGTTTGTTTTCTCTGTCTCTCATTCCCTTAGTGTAACACTGACACTAGCAGCCTTCCAGCTGCTGTCAATCAAACCGACACTGACACAATCCTCAGCCGGCTGAGATGAAAAGCAGCATTTTTGATATTTTCCCAAAGACCATTTTTCTGCCCTTTGATAATAAAAAAACAATTAACAATAGACTTTTAAAAAATGTTGACAGTGTTATCGAACAGACAGAAAAAGTATTGTTGAAAATGTATTATTGTGTGCCAGAAAGGATGATTTGAAGACTGCACATTTAAAGAATTTCTCTGAATGTACCAGAGCACAAAACACTTGGAATAAGATAAGTCAGCTTGCACAGTCCAAATTAATACAAAGTAATCACAAAACTAGAATATAACAGTTACTATCAACCTACTTTAATAAACTTGAAAGCAGCATCAGTAAAAAGGAACATCCACCTATAAAACTTAAGTACGGTAGTTGTTCAAAGCACTGATTGTCTGCATGGCCAACTTTGATACCAAGGCATTACAGGATCCTCGTTCAGTTGCTGCCATAAAGTGTGACTGCTACTTCAAGCGTGGGCCACCACAGTATGGAAAAGGGATTTGTAACTTACTGGTCACTAAGTGAATATACTGTATAGATGTCTTCCGCCCCCCAGCATATCAAAGAAAACTGCAGTGCACACAGATAATTTCAAAGTGTATAAAAAGCAGCATATGGAGGGGAAATGGGGTGTTAAAGTGCTCCAACTGAGCTGAAAAAGATGCTGCTTTAAAAAGGGTTTGGTGTAAGCTCACTGGTTAAATTAGTTACTGGGGGATGGTGCATTATATGTGTAGTGACTTTGTTGTGGTCAGATCACTAACAGTAACACCGAAAGCACTATGATCTCAAACACTTTCTATGATTGTGTTTCCATACAGTGATAAAGCATCTGCAGAAGTATATTCTTGTGACTAATGTATTCTCTCTGGGAGTTGAGAATGATATACAGGATGTTAAACATGATGACATACTGACTAGCGTGAAGACAAGTACACTTCGGCACAACAAAAGTGCATGCAACCAAATCTGCGAACATATGCATGCTGACACACACACACACAAGGGGGAAAAAATAAAAATAAGACACAAGCCTGATTGCAGTGAGGGACATCTTCAAAAGCATCCATGCTTTAATATCTATGCTGAATCTACAAGCTGATTGCAGAAGCCTCTTTAAAAGACTGTGGGAACATTTCAAATCTGACAGAGCCCCAGCACCCCAAAAGAGAAAAATCAATAGGAGTTTAAAAGTTTCTCTTAGCACAAAGCAATAGGTTATCATCTTAGGACCTCTATGGTGTCTTAAAAAAGATTATTTGGCAGTTAAAGGATAAAGCTGGACTTTGAACAATTTCACTAAGGAGCCAAAACCGACAAGGAATTTATCCTGCAACATCTATTAACCATTTAGCCACAAGCCGATATATCTTGCATTGGGTAGAACCCTTCTATAACAATCAATACATAAAGTCTATTAACTCCACAACAACATTTTTTATTTTGAATAATCAGAGTAGCTCTGTATTGAGAAGACATCAGGTTTGGGAATTGCTAGTCAACAAGCTAAGAAACTGTTTTCACAAAAAGGTAATTATTATTCTATTATATTCTATTCATTGTATTTGTTAGTTTCTAATAAATGTACATGATATTAGTGTGTGTGAGTTTGTCGTGTTTAGACAATAAACAAAGTTAGCAAACAGAAGCAGATGTAGTGTTTTGCTGCCTTCCTGTGCCATTTGCCCAATTGGTTTTGTTTATCGGGATATTCTATTTATGTGCTCCTGAGGCCTGACTGACAACCCTAATTATTGTTTCTCCATGAGCTCAGTTTGTTCAAATACAAAAAAAATTGAATGTCTAAAGGAAAATATGAGTCACATAGTGAGGACATGAACTTAAAGCAAAAAAGGGCCAAGGTACAAAGTGGAGAGGTTATTCACACCTGCACTGTGTGGAAGAGGTGCTACAGTGACATCAGCCCGTCTGCACTCCGACGTCAGCACCAACCTGAGCAGCCGACCTTTTGAGTGCTGCAGGCTTTTTGTTTTGATTGTCTTGGGGTGTGTGTTCTTTGTTCTTTCTATCACTCTCACCACCTCGCCTCTGGCCACCCTCCTTCTGCCCCAGCACTTTTCAAATACATTCATCTATTAGCTTACTGTTCATTGTTCCAGCATCTGACTGACTGCAGACCCACAATGACGTTTGTAGAATTTGTATTATTGATTTTCCAGTTAAACTAGTCTGTTACAGTGCTGTGTATTAACACCTCATGGATGTGACATATTTGACTGCTGCTTATGGAGTGATTGTGCAAAAACAGGGGTCAGTTTTTAATGCGACCATGACAGACATTGACTTAAAGCATCAGCTGGCTACTTATGAGCCTTTTGGCATGTATTGGAAACACTGACTGCTGAGCTGACTGTAATCAATAGCTGGACAGAGGTTAATAGTCAATTAGCTTGAGTTACACTGGCAGGAATGTTAACAATGGAGCCACTAATGCCTGAAAGTGAGTTCACATATAGTAAATCAGCCATTTTTAAAAAAGGACTGATTAGCTGCCTGAAGGTTCACTATTATTGGTTTAGGCCTATACAGTATAACACTGACGGAGTCAAAATGTTAAGTACACAAAAGGGTCATCACCTTCCTAACTGCAATCCATTTAAAAGTAATACTACATACCAAAAGGTGAGAAGAAATGATCATCTGTTCAGTACAATGCAACTCAAATCAATAGCCCTGCAATACAAAACTTTCTGAGGGAACATTGTATTTGTTGAGACTCTATCAGACAAGAGGTGACTCAACTCTGTGGTTATTTTTGAGGCAGTGGCTGATTTGGAGTAGGAAACATTTTAGGGGTTCTGTAATGTTATTCCCACACTAATATTTTACAATATTAACACTGTGATGCGTGATGGAGCACTCTGATGCAGAGATAGTCTTACCAAACCTGACATTAAAAAGCTTCACATATTTGTATTAGATATTAAGGTTATTTCGCCCAGCTAGAGCTAAGATTTTTTCTTGAGTAGTTTGTGTACTTTGTGATACTGTAAAACATAAAATAAAAATATGCTATACAGTAAACATGCTGACAAAAACACTTATCAGACAATACCTGTGATGGCTGACTTGCAGCTCTCCAAGAAGCTGATTCTTGAACCACTGGTCAAAGTCCACGTTGTCAAACAGCTCATAGGCTGCCAGTCCCACTGCATTGTATACTGTGGACAAAACAACCACAAAAACAGTCAGAAAATCATTATTGGTCATTGTTTTCACAAATATTAACTTCTAAAAAGTGCAGTACAGAAATTGGTCCATTCAAATAAACAATAAAACCTGAGTCATCTATGTCATTGGCTACCTTTGAAAAAAGGAAATTACTGGATTTTATATTTATGAATAGCTAGCCGCTAGCTAGAATTCCACCTAGAAGCTAAATTGAATCTGCTAGTACGGTCCTTCAAATATGCAATCCAATCTTTGCAACATAAACCACATCAAAAGTTATTTTAGGGGGTATATTTAGGAACAGAGGCAGAACAGCGCACTAAAAGGTGTTCTTCCGGCTAAAACTGGTGTAATAGTGGCAAAAATGTAAAAGGCACTAAAAAGACAACAGAAAAAAAGATGTATGAGCAACATACTATAGAGAGATAAAGGGACACAAACCATAGAAGTGAAAGAGATGTCACCTGTTACCATTTATATTTTATCTTTAAAAGAAATGAATTTTGAAATGGCAAGAAGAAGACATGGAGAGAGAGGGGAAAAGAACAAAGACTGAGAAGAAGGAGATTTAGAGAGAAACTGAAACTTTTTCCATTACTATAATTCTCTAGCATTATGCAAGGCTGGCACTGGGCACAAGTATATTGGGATCTACAGTATATCTTTCAGTGTGTGTGTGTGTGTGTGTGTGTGTGTGTGTGTGTGTGTGTGTGTGTGTGTGTGTGTGTGTGTGTGTGTAAGTAAAAGATAGAAAAGCTAAAGCAGAGAAAGCATTGGAGAAATATGAAACAGTGTAGGTGTCTCTCAGCAGAATTATCTAAAAACTTATGGAGCAGCTAAACGCTCTCAGCTCTGAGACATATATATTCTCTCATTTATCATGACCAAAAGACAAAAAGATGGATGATAGAAGGATAGCCAGAAAAGACTGATAGTCTAAAAGGTGCTTTAACAGTCGCCTTGGTCCTTATATCAAATACCAAAAAGTTGAGGCATTGGCATTTATAGGTTAATAAAACTGACAGGAAACTGGAAACTCTGAGGATAAATAACATGCATTTGTCTTTTGTTTGTGTTTACGGAGTCCGATATTTGTTGTTACTGACAGTTAAGCTTCCCTTTAAGGTAAAGTACAGTTATTTCCTGATATACAGCACTGCTAAATTAATCTGCCTCCCTTAAATGAGAAGTTCATACATTTTCAACTGTGTTTTTAGTGGCGGCATCTCAGAGGGCTAATGGTGCACTAAAACATACTTACTCAGTTCTAATGTACAATATTTCATAGAGGAAGGTAATTTTACTGCCAGTGCAGCATTAAAATGACAAATGTGGAACTGATGCAGGGGCTGCAAAAATATATGAACACCTCATTGATGGCTGAAGCAACAAAAATGTAAAACACTGCTATACTGGTGGCTCATATTTGGTTATATGCCATAATCTGCATTTGTTAGTTTAAAAAAAGGATCTAAGCAGGTGGTCTTGTTTTGTAGCAAATATGGTTGTTACGTATCACATATCACAAATGTCTTGAAAGTACATACGATCGACTAACGTGCGTCTTCAGATCTTTAGCTCACTGAAGGAAATATGTGAATATATGATGATGGGTTGGGGGCTGGACCCTCCTTTTAAAACAGCATTATTAAGGTCTTGGTCTATAATTTTATTAGCACCACTGATACTGACTTATTACATTCTTGGAAAAAAAAATGCACCTGCTGTTATCAAGTGCTCCTTTGGGTCTTCAACGAGCTCTCACAGCCACAATTATCTGCCACTGCTGCTACCACAGCACAGCTTCATCATCCATTGTGTCTGCTGTTTTATCAACACTGTCAACAGACTGCTGAGATCTCAACAGGCATCCAGCTTTAACGGAGGCCCTCTTAGCAGGCAATCCCAACTGTCTGTGATTTAGTTGTGTATGCCATAAAAGCACCACCAGTGGCAGCCCTGACCCGGGAGTTATAAATACTAAAATGAGGTACAGAGAGGGGAAAGAGAGGGTTTAAGAAAGCAGTATGGATGAATGGAAGAAGGGAATATATAGTTACAAATTTTGAGTAATTCTTCTGACTTTATCTTAGCCTAAATAGATTGCTATGATTCCTGTAGCTATCTTTATTCAAATATATGCCTCAGTTTAACCTGCTCTCCCTCTGTGAGACCAGATCAGTCATTTAATACACCTGGCATGACGGATGACAGCAGTTATTGAACTGGCAAGAGTAGGTCAAGCCTTTGACTCACCTGCATCCTTCATTAGCAACTGAACGGAGTCTTCCACGTTGGTTGGGCCTGCAAAGACAGATACATACTCTGGATCAGTGAAACACAGACTGTATTTGGAAGATAAGTGTGCATACAGTTCAAGCATTTTTCAAGGATAACTTGACCCAGTGACCACATCATAATACAGTTGTAACTTGAAGAGGCTTGGACTCTACTGCATCAGTCTTGTCTCAGTCATTTTCTGTCGGTTCTCTCCCTCTCTATTAGTCACTGTTGTGTACTCAGGCCTTAAAATCAATAGCTGCCTCCCTTCAACCAAACAATAACCCAATCTGGCGTCTTCTTTGCTCCAGCAGAACCCATTTCCACTCTGTCACTTGAAAATGAAAACAGCTTGGGAGACAGACCGGAAGCAGACCCTGTAATCTGCCTGTTTGAGCAATGGCGTCGCTAATTTAGCAACAGAACAAGAACTACATGCCAGTACCACCAGGGAATCAGTGGCAGTGTTGCGTGTGTGTATGTATGTGACTGACTCACTGGGGAGCTGAGAGTGGTTGTAATGGAGGAGGTCGTCACCAGGGAACTGGAAGGTGCTGTCAACCCTATAGATTGGATGTCACAAATACTGTGACTGCTAAAGGCAACATGAACAAACCTATGCTTTGCTTGTTTCCTGATACATGAAATATGTCACACTTACTCTGAGGCAAGGCAACATTTCATGATGAGAAATCGAGAAGATTAAGAGACCGGAAGCCAATTTTGTGTTAGTGGTAAGGTGAGGCATACAGTATGTGGAGGGCAATTTTATCTGTAGAGCAGCTTTAAAACCACTGGCAATTCAAAGTAATTTGCATAAGGTATGTAAATGTAATAAGAAAACAAAAATTCACAAGTGAGATAAAATACATTAAAAAGGGATCTTTATGATATCATTGGGATGGACAAATATTTGACAGACTTCTCAGTATAGCACAATAACATCCAACCGCAACACAAACAGCCTCCAAAATTACCATAAAATTGAATCCAAACAGCCTCAACAAAAAAAAAACATTACTGCATTGCCTTCATGAAATTTTATTGCTGAGCTGTATAAGAAAGCAATCATTTTAGCTATGTGTACCTAATAAACAGGCAACTGTAGGCATGTTTTGCTTGTATTTAAAGGATGTTAAAAGGGTTGCTGAGAAGAGAGCAGATGCATTTGACATGTAATAATATTTGATTTGATATTCAACTGACCCTGGAGATTCTGAACCATATCCAGTAGCACCGGTGTCAGTGTCTGGCTGTAGTTGTGAAAGATATCCAGGAACAACACTTCAGTACATGGCTAAATAGAGAAAAAGAGCAGGAGATACAAAAAGAGACAGTTATCATTTGCTTTTATCTCAGTATCACAGCGCTCCCCTTCCTTTGTATCCTGCTGTGGCTTTGTTGGGCAAGTTGTGGTGAGGGGTAATATCACATGAAGTTATGTCAGTGTCTACCCTCTATAAACACCAAGAGGCATGTGCAGAAACACACAGACAAAAGGCAAACAATGCCTTAAGCTGCCTGTTCAATAAAAAGTCAATGTGACATTGTCAGGGGATTTCTGAGTTTGTGTGTGTGTGTGTGTGTGTCTAGGTGTGTGTGTGTTCAAACAGAGAAATGGTAGTCCACCCACCTTCACTAGTTTATTGGTTTTAGCTGTGACCAAAAAAATCTATATTAAATGGTGTAAGAAATGTGATAATATAGGCTGAGCGAATTCATGAATAAACCCTGTGTGCTACAGTTTATTCACACGCGTCTGTGAGCATGTAGCTTTAACCTTTCTGCCCTGGTGGAGAGAGGTCAGAGGTTAGATGGCATGTCTAAAAAGCCAATCCAGCACAAAACACCGGAAAATATAGACAGGTGGTAAAATGGATAAGCAGAAGGTCATCTATAATCAGCCATTAGAATTGGTGACCATGGAAGGAATAGATGGACAGTGACATTTGATCTATGAACCATCCTGAGCACCATGATGTGCTAATATGAAGGTCAAAAGAGGGCGTATACTGTGTGGAAAAGTTCCTGAATCAAAAGTTGTACATATACGGGTAAGAATGTGTGTGTTCAGAAGTTAATAGTAAATATAAGCTACAATTAATCTCTTCAACCTACACAGTCACCTTTCTCTGCATAGATCCGTAGTCATTAACATTTATCTCCACAAACCTCCAACCTTAGGGACTGGGATCAATCCTACATACATTGTAAACTCCATTTATATCATCAACACAATTTAAAAAACAAAACATAAGAAAGCACTGGAAACTTGTACTAAAACAAAGAATAGTTTAAAACTCTTAAGCCAGTCTTCAAGTTAGAATTAAATCCAGCTGGAGGTCATACCTTTAAAGGTGTTAATCAAATGAACAAATGAACAAATAAACTCTATAAAGATGGAAGTGTGCTTTAAATGAATAAGAATTTTTACAACAAGACTTTGAGGTTCAATGAACGAATGCTTTAATGTACATGTAGCAGCGCAGAAGTAAGTAGGATGCAGCTCAAGAGAAAGGGTGAAGGGAAGAAAAAGGAGGGATACACAGAAAAATAACATGACATCATCATTTAAATCTTTTTTTAAGGTTTCGCCACTGGACATCATGTTCCGTGTTTCTGACTTTAATCTAGGAAAACTAGACAACTTAAGAGCGCTCTTACCCTGGTGGAAACACAGGGGGGGGACACAAAGTTTCTTTTTAACAACATTTCTATTCTCACTGCTCCTAGATTCTGTCAAACTGGGGGTGCCAGAGTGGAGATGCTGCTTGTGGGAAGGGTTGAGGACTGTGTGTACAGCCATCATCACTGGGCACTTACAAATACAAAAGTACTTGACATCATACTGCCTCTACAACAGAGACATGGAGGACCACTCTCTGTCTGAGTTTCTGTTTCCCCCCTCTCAGGTAATTAATATGGAAAATATATAACAGGATAATTTCTAAGTGTGGGCGTTTGTGCGTATCTTTACTTACCCGTAGACTGTATTTCCAAGAGTCACCACCTGTTTCTTCAACAGCTGTAAGAGGAGAGGTAAGGAGAGGTGAGGAGAGGTGAGGAGAGAAGAGGAAAGTTAAAGAAAATTGAGTGTGTGTCTATGGAGGACTGAAAAGCTAATACTGCTAGAGGCCATAACTATATTTTGAGATGACGAATGGATATCTATGAGGAACTGCTGGTCTGGAGATTACAGCTGAGGGTGCACAGCAAAACTGCAAATGTATTATTATACACTTGTGTGTGTTTCTGACTGTAGACCTAAATCCAAATGTCAACATTCTGAGCTACTGGCATTGGTCCCTTGTTGTCTCAGCTTTATAAAGTGTTGTGTCTGCGTGGTCAGTGCAGTTACATCAAGTCTGCGAGGTTACTTACATTTCAGTCGCTGCCATAGCTACAACAAACACAAAGATCTTTACCCTCTAATTTTTCAAGGGGAATCCTTTAATTAAAAATAAAATAAATAAAAAAACTGCATTGCTTTAAATAGCACAGCATTAACACTGTGAATGGTAGATGTTGTGTGAATGTTGTATGAAAATAATTTGTTTGACTGGGCACATTATCACATATAAATCACAATCCTTATTAGGGCTATTATTGTTCAATACCTAACCTTAATGCAAGAATCACCACTACATCAATTCAATAAACAAATTCTGGTGAAGCCTGCACCAAAAGTAAGATTTGTGACTTCATGAACTGTAGAACTGGCCAACCCTCACTATTCTGGTCTTCCCAAAGAACATGCCTGTTAACTCTGCCAGTATGCAGGTCCAGATAAGTCTGGACATTTGGCTTCAGCCTGTGGAGATGTGGTATTACCAAAGCTCTCAGGGTCCTCTTCCCACATTGCCAGCTCTTCCTCGGTGAGAAGGAAGTAGTGTGAGACAAGCCGGCGTCCAATCTCTGTCAGCGTGGGGTGTGTGAAGAATGCTGTCTTGATCTTGTGAGCCTCCAGACTCTCTGGTTTACTGTCTGAGGGAGCGAAGAGAGAGGGAGAGTAAAAGAGAGAAAAAAGAAAATGTTATTATCCATTCATCTGTCCAACAATCCATACATTATGGTCATATTGGTTCTATCTTCTGTTTGTATTCATCTACACTTCCCAGCTTTAAAGCTATTGTATAGTGGAATTCACAGCAATATCAAAATGATCAGTACAAAGTACATTTGATATATAGGATTTCTTAGTATTTTAATTTATAAGGAGAGTGGTCTAGAGCTGATTTGAAAAGTGTCCTGAGAACTTCTGTTATGAATTGGCGCTATACAAATACGATTTCATTAAGTATAAAAGGTATGTTGCATACTCAAATGGCTTGGTGTCAAGAAACAAGAAGTCATCTTCTGTAGTCTGCATCCTAACTTAAAATTTATATTAAATCTTTTTTATAGTTTGTAGTAAAAAAAAAAAAAAAAAAAGAAGAAGCTGATCTTTTCAGTTAAAATGAATTTTCCTAAATCATCCACAGTTTAACAAAAACCTTCTGATATACAACAAAACAAGATTGCTAGCCATTTTACTTTCAAACCTCCACTTTACCTATGGCCCCTGACCCCCATGTCACTACTGGTGCATTACTAAAGGCCCTGTTCTAATACTCTGAGACAGACATTGGTCTTCCTGTCTATGTGACTGACAGCATGGGCCTAATAAATAAGTCAGATGGCTGCTCTGAGCTGAGCTGTGTCAGTCAAAGCACAACTTTCCCTTTAACTATGTAACCTCACTACTCAAAATACTTTTTGGAAATAGGAAAAGGAAAGAACACCTGAAGTTGGACTGATGTCTGAAGCCAAGGCACACTCAAACATTCAAATGAAATAAAGTCATTAACACAAGAACCACAATAACGTGGCTCCAATCTGTATCAACGATGTAATGATTCATGATCTTCAATAAGGCACACCAAAGACCATACTAGCTGGCAGAACAAAGACCGAATGCTGCGCCCCATGGCTAATGAAGCACTGGAGGTCTCTGACAGCCTGAAATAAACATGAGCCATGGTGAGGTACTGTGACACTGGTGGTGTTGTGCTTTTTAAAACAGTGTCAGTGATCAGCTTTGAAGATCTAGTGGTGTTTTCTGTTGGTCAGACTATTGTTTCTCGTAGACATATTATTATTATAATTATTATTATTATTATATATTGTAGACCTAAAATTCAGATTTAACTGTCTAGCTTTCATTAAAATCTCCTCTCCTCAACCATGTCTGCAATTCTCATCACTCATCTACCATGTCCCTTGTGTTATCACTTCATTCATGCTTCATTCTCCATTGTTCCTGCTCCTCTTCCCAAAATCCCTCATATCATACCATCAATGTTCTTGGCAGGTTTGTAGGCATCGTTCTTTACAATCATCTTGATGAGGTTCATGCACTGAACAATGAAGCGTTCAAATGTGACTCCCTCCCCTGCAGGTGTGAACACGTAGCTGACGGCAAATTCAAGGGAACGCTGGATTAGGGGTATAAATGCACAAGGATGGTACTCCAGGAAATCTAGCAACTAAGGGAGGAAAGAAAAGTACAGAAGAGGACAAACAAGGGAGAAAGTTTCGTTAGATGCTATAATTTTTGTCTGCAAAGTCCAACAACCTATGCATTAATAATGAAACATTTGTCAGTCATTATTATCTATTAATATACAAGTCAACTCACAACTTTAGTGTACAGTATGATCGTCTTCTCCAGCTTTTCTCTACATGTGCTATCTGGACCAACCTGCCGACCTGAAACACAAAACAACCATACAGTATTGCTACTGTTTCAATGACATACAGCATCCTCATCATCAATCCGCAATATAAAGATGGTTGATAGTTAATTAATCTAACTCCAAGTAATACAAGTTGGCAATAATGTGATTTGACAGATAATAGTAATAGCAACAATAACAATAATGATAACAATAATCATCATCATCATGTCCTGGATCAAATACCATTATTTTCCAAAATGTAAAAAAATTAAATAAAAATAATTATGGTATTATTATAATGGTAACATTGCCCAATATCGAGATAAAGTGTCAATAGAAAACTCTTGATTTTCAAAATCAATGTGTGTAGAAATTCTGAACTTTCCTCTTCTGAAGTATTAAGCCTACGTCTTTATAAAAAGGTACACTGCACGAATCCATCTTAAACCACTGTCAATTGCTGATAATGAGATTTTAAAATGAATCACAATTAATTCAGAGGAAACCTTTTCAGTATGACATGGAACATCAGATGAGACATTATCTTAACTGGTGTCTGATTTTGTCTGTTCGATAGAGTCATGTATTATACAAATGTGTAGAGAGAACTTTAATGGTACAAATGAGTAGGAGCAAGATGGAGGAGATAAAGAGAAAGAAGATGCTCAAGAAATGTGCAGAGATTCATTTATCTTTAACTGATTTACAACAAGAAACTTTCCTCTTTCTTTAAGGTCAAATGCCCACTTAACCTTGCTGCCTTGTAAGAGTCCCACTGGCCTATTACAAGCATTGGTGTATATAGTAAAGTATAGTAATAAAAGAACTCAAAAATGGCCATGAATGAGTCACTCTCTCTGATGTAAATTTTGGCTCCATAAAAACACTCATGATGCTAGAGCCAATAAAGATGTCCCATGTATTTACTTCCCTGTCAACCTCATTGATGAAATCGGCAGAGACCATAACAGACTCTGGCATTCCTCCAATCATTTGTGAACAGCCAGGGTCATTGTTTCCTCTCCACTGATATACACACATTCATTTCTATCAGCAACTTCTACTTTAAAGTGACACTAGATTGATTAAAAAGGTTAACTTGCTTTGTCCTGCGTCTTTCAAACTACAGATCAGGGATTATGTAGATCAAAACACTGTTGCATTTTATTGACTTTGTGTCCATGCCATTGTTTCCTTGTTTGCAGGTGTGAGACAGCTGGTAATGTAAGCAGATGTTGTGTAAAGTCACTGAGGTCATTCATGGGAACCAACAAAACCTGCTAATAAAATCCATAGACTGAAATAGATAGAAAATGAATGGAGAAAATAAACAAAGAAAGAGTATTCATTATTTCTGACAGATATGTAGCCTGGCAAAAAAAATAAAAAATTCAACAATGCAGTGACTGACAGAAATAGATAGGTAACCACAGTTGGATGACAAACATCTAACAGGAGGAAGCAGACATCTGAATGGACCACAAAGACTGTCCCAAAAACACCAGTTTATATAGCTGACCTTATCAGGCTGTGCAGAGCTGATATTTCTCCCTAGCCCAGCTGTGAGCTGCCTTGCTGTATGCCCTATCTGCCAGGCCCAAACACCAACAGGCCCCTGACCCTGTCTCCACTTCCATCAGCAGAGTAAATATTGGAAATGGTAGTTGTGGCTGATATCTCAAATTATATTTTTGCTAACATCAGTGGCAGCTCATGGAGTGGTGTCTGAGATGTACCTCTCACTCACTGGGTGTTGTTCTGACAAACCTCTATGAAAGAACAAATAGTCATTGAATAGAGATTAGACTGTGACAAAGAACCTTTACCTGTGTTTCACCCAGAGAGAGCCTTTCAGTGAGAAGTTACCACTCAAAGGCTTCCACTAGGTAACGTGCAAATTGGTTAGATAACTGTTGCCTCAGAACCAGAGTATGAAACTGATAACATGTCAGAAAAACACACAGAACATCTTAGGTGTGTGTTAACATGTGGTAATTCATGATGAAGCAGAATATTGGGCTGTAAGAGATCCTTTTCATACATAAACTAATGAAACATTAGTGAGGGAGTCAAACATGTTTCATTTGATAGGAGGGATAGAAAGGTGAATTAAACAATGTTTTGATTGTTTTATTGCTTAGATTTTCTGTTCACACCTTCTATTGGAGGATGAAAACACATCTCATGTTGCCTTTAACCTGCTCTCTCAAGATCTAACAATTACAAAAGATTCTCATTCCTCAAATCACACTCATACTTTTAAATAATAGTACAGTGAGCATAAGTTGTACTTAGAGGTCTTTGGTTTTTAATGGTTTAGATGCAAAACTAAAAACTGGGCCCCTTAGATGACTCAGCCTAAACCTTTAATTTGACACATACATTATGCTTTGGTATTATGAGACCTTGACATTTGGTATCATATAGTGTCTTAGACTTTTAAGTAGGCGCCTTCAGCATGCATCAGATCAAGCACCCGTGAGTGAGTTTGTTTACTGCGGGGAGAAGCCTAGGATCAGAGATTCAGGACAGAGAAAGAGACAAGTACTCACAGCACTCCAAGAACTGTTTTAGCCTTTCAAACACTGCATTCAGGAAACCCTGAAAAGGAGGAGATGAAGAGAGGGTGAGATAAAGTTTAATCTATTTGACATTTCTGCAGTTGAATCATTCATGATTGCTTGATCAGTATTGCCCAGAAGCAGATATATTAACAAGGGAATAACTTTAGTATGTGTGTGTTGTGTATGTGTGCGTGGGCACACTTGCTTCCGTACTCAGGAGTATAAATAAAAGTGCCAGCTACACAGTATGAAAGAGAATCAATTTTCTGTAGCCTGGTGTAGACGCGGCTTAGCATGGGAAATTAGATGATAGATGGAGAGGCAATCTGTTTAGTTCTGCATTAATGTTCAGCCATGAGGTCAACAGCAGTGTCATTAATCACACAACACAGCCCAGCCAGCGACTATAGCGCCTAACAGAGTTAGTGAAGAAAGAGGGGGTCATGAAGAAGAGCAAAGATGAGGGGCTGGGAGGTGATAGAGAACAAAGTTCCCGCCACGCATTTGTAAAGCTAATAGTGGGATTTAGACAAAGAGGGGGAGGCAAGGTGGATGAAATAAAAGGGGGAGAAAAATACTTAAATAAAGCATGCAGGAAATTAGAAAACGACTAATGCAAATATGAGTGTAAAACAAAGAAGTTTTCAGCTGAATCAGTCTTGATGAAAAAGGTTTGACAAGTAAAGAGGAAGAGAAGTGAGGTTCACGGCACTGCCAGGGAAGAATACACAAGGATGAAGTGAAAAGTAAATGAATGTCAGCAAAATTGATTGAGATGGCGAGAAAAGGATGGAAAATTGAGACAAAGTGGTGGACATCAAATGGGCACATCAGCAGTAGTGTGAGAAGTAGATTGTAAAGGGAGATGAGTGTGTCAACAGAACAAGCGAGTTCATCTGACAAAAGATCTAAGGGAAGAACAGTGGGTGGCAATTTGGTGAATGTTTTAGCTGTGTGTGGTCAAGTATATGTGCTCAGACCAGCTCCAGATTTAAAAAGGTCTAGTAGATTGTTTAGTACAATGGCTCAACTGAATGTACATTGTTCTATTAATCTATAATTTTCTTTGCTGGTCACACAAAGATGCCTGTTAACTCCTGGATGTTGCAAAGTTACCCACATACTGAGCAAGAATGCCTGGGAAGAAAATGTTCCAAATGACTTGTTTCTGATGAAAAAGATCAGTTGAGATGTCTATTCTAGCCCCCCTTCTTGTTGACAAGCAATAAGGAAGATAAACAGCAACTGCAAAATAAGTTTTAAAATTCATCAGTGGCAGCCTGTGTGAAAACTGACAATGCTCCTCGTTTTTAGCGTCACTGATGTTCTAGAGCAGTGTGGTGATTAGATAATAAAGTCAATCTATTCAGAATACTCATGTCAAGTGTGAAGACGTTGGATGGTTTATAGTCAGAGACCAAAGTGTGAATGAAATAAACCATTGCCTTAAGGCCCTGACACACCAAGCAGAGTTCAAAGAACTAGCGCCAACAAAAACAGATGGCTGCCTCAACCTCACGAAAACGTTGCATTTAAAAACACACCACAACACTGCATCTGTACTCCAAAGATATGAAAAGACAAAAATGACTTCAGAATGTGTCTCACTAAAATGTATAACTGGTACTGAAACGGGTAAACTAGAGCCGCTGGAACCAGACATACCAAAGTAAATCAAGGCGCCTGTGTGCTATGCACAGCAAAATGGTGCCAAACAACCGGCTGTCAGCTGGGTGTGTCAGGGCCCGCACACATATATTTGGAGTCAGTATTGTTTCAGATTTCCTGAATGAAATAAGTTTTATGATTTGTGTTGTATCAAAATGGGATTTTTTTTAGGAAACAGCAATATATTTTAGTTGTATTTTGCAAGAATTACAGAATGCCTGTTATGTTTATTAGAAGCGAAATGAGGAAAATTGTTTTGCTGGCTTAATTCAATCATAACTTATTAATAACTCAAACAGAAAACAGAAAATGAGCTGTTGAGGGTCAAAGTACACAAGCAACAAATTAAGTGGTTAAGAAAAGCACAAGCCTATTTGCAGCAAGATTGCTATTGCACAATTAGCAGATATGGGACAGGCTTATTATTAAGATTCACTGTTACAGTTCAGGCCAGCTGTGCTGCAGGCCTTTGAGACATGCATCATGACCTAGTTGAGTTACTCTTTCAGATGGGTTTATTCAGTTCTCTACAGGTTGCTTAATTACTTATTTAGTAGGCAACCTGCATCTTACAGTCCCAGTCAGAAATATAACCTTGGAATTAATTAAAAAATTACATATTGCAATATGATTTAACAGTTCACACCAATCAGCCAAGGAAGAGCACAATGAGACATAACACCCTGATAACCAAATCAATAAGTCTGATTAAAAGAGTGTGACATTTTAAACCATCACAGGATTTATTATAGGATCAAATGGTTGCAGGCATTTTATCTGTCTAAAACCATTTAAATTTAAGAGACCTCTCAAAAAGTCGATAAACAAAAAATGATCTGCATGAGGGCTCCCATTAAAAGGTTTCCTGTTCAGGAAAGGGGTTAATATCAGTTAAATCAATAATTTAATCTAATTAATTTAAATTGCTTTATCCCTGTCAGACTCATCTCACCTGTTCTTATTAACTACAATTGACTTTCTTTCAGTTTGATTTGTTTCAGGTCAAGAGAGCGGATGCTAGACACATCCAGGCTGAAATCACAACACTGTTCATGGTTGTATACAAACATGTGTTAAGTCAGTGGAAAGAGGAGCGTAGATTCATTCTAAGCATTGCCAACAAAGGAAAAAACACATCTGGTTATAAAAATCTTTCCACTTCAGCAAAAAAAAAAATGCTTATCCTGAGCATATACTGTTGGACTCCACTTAGCACAGAGTCAACAGGAGCAAAAATGAGGGGGGAAAATAAGACAAAAAGAGAGTTTATAAGAAAAAGAGAGCTTATAGTATTACACCACCTGCTGTTAAATGTGGTAAAATAGCTCTTAACAGTGCCTTCCAGACATGATTTTTCAAACACTGCCTATATATAACTCTGTTGTCAATTGTAGGTAAAACAGTCAAGTGAAGCAACAATGCATATGTAAAACACCATTTTGAGTAGACTATAAGTACAAAAAATATAGCCATGACCTGAATATTGGGAAAGGAGCTAAGTTCACAGTAGGCATATTTCTCTCTTAACATACCATTAGCTGAATAATAAAATACATGAAAAGTGGTATTAAAGTAGTGAGTCTGATCTAATAACTGCATATATATGTAAACATGAAATATTAACTCCAAACCATTAGGTCTGCTCACTGAGCTGGAATAACCAGAGACAGCTCAAGGCAAATGACATTTTAATGTGACTATTTCAACCATTATACAACCTTCAGCCTGCAAGCTAAAAGCTGTCTCATTAGTGAAATAATAGAGCTAAGTAAACAGAATCATTTCTGTCATAAAATGGTCAATTCAGTCTATAATGAAAAGAAAAAATTATACCAAGCAATTCTGCCACAATGGTGTCTTAAAACTGTATATATTTTTCGGACAGTTGAATGATATCAAACTGACAGCAAATCCAGTTTTCTAAGCAGTGCATTCAATATTTCTACTTAAACTGAGTTAAAGATTGATTATTTAAACTTTACTAATACTAATCAATTGCTAAAGTGCTCATTTCTGCACTGACAGATGCAAAACCCACTCACAAACATCACCCACCCTCCTCCTCGGCTCCCCAAACTTTTTCCTGACATCACAATTTAATGATTTTTATCTGTATATGTGGCTTAATTTTTTATTACTAAATGTGTATTTTGTGTAAAAAAAAAAAAAAAAAAGTATTTGAAACCTCACTTTACAATTATTCTCTAAAACATTTACTGCATTTCTTTCACGTTGACTGGCAAAAACGGGAAGCAGTCAGAATCTGCAGCTGGAGTTCAAAGTACTGGGACATTTTATGTAAATTATTCCATTAACTCTGAGCTATGGACGAACCAAAACCCTATCCAGACAGGCACTTCAGATTTTTCTTTTTTTCTTTTTTTCTTTTTTTTTAAACCGGGGCTATTTAGACTAAATTAAATTAACAGTTTCATGGAGTCAGACTTTCTTCACATTGACAGTGGGAGGAGAGCTCATACATAACGCTTGACTCTTTGAACCGAGACAAGGCTTAAGGCACTTTCAATCTTCACGGCCATCCACATCTTGCACACTGTGGAGTCACACATTGGAGTCATTTTTAACTCAAAACACTAACAGGAAAAATATCAGCTTTTCCAAATATGAGAGGTTCTTTAGCAGCCACAGCTGAAATAATTTAAGACTCACCATCACTTCCATATTCTGTTGTGGCTCTTGAAATCCGTGGACTGTCAACTTGCGAAGCACTGAGAGGCGGCAGATAGGAAAAAAAAAACATCTGTATGCAGGATTGTCGCTAATTGCAAATAAAGTGAAAAGTAGCAGAACATATGAATATCTCAAGAAGTTCACAACTTGTCCGTTAATAAAGTTTTTGTGAATAGATGGAATCTTGACCAAAATCACATTATGCAACATGCAGGCAGTTATTTAAGGCCATGATTTACTTACAGTTTTGTATGAATAGATCACTGAGTGGCTTTGTATGAGAACGCAGTTGTGCGTGTTTGCGTGTGTGCATATTTTGATACCTTTAAGGGAGAGGAGTGTCCTCTCCAGTGAGCTGAGCGCAGCAGCCTCATCTCTGGTGTAGATCTGCTGGAGGAAGCAGTCGGTGTGATGGCTCCACAGGGAGCATGCAAAGCTGTAGATGCCTGACGCCAGCTGCCAACATACATATAAACAGTACAGTCAATCACACCCTGACAAAATTATTCTGGATCAGTGATCACATTCAACAACATTTGAGATGATTCTGGTGAACACGTGAAATTAATCACAAGTGTATCTGCACACCAGATTTACATGTGTGCAAACTGTGTCTGTAAAATGAGACAATCGCATCAAGCTACACATAAAAACACTCACACAGAAACAATGCACACAGAGAGCAAAGATGGACCTCTGAGTCACAGGTCTAATTTAGCTCCAAATGAACTTCCTATTAGAGACACTGCCATAATATTATTTGAGCCCAAACCAATTACTTTCCCCCCCAATGAAGGCATTCTCCTGTACAAGCAAGACATGATCATCAAAAGGTAGACAAAGGTACTCTCAGTACCATTAACTGCAGTATATAGTCTGGCCCAGTCGTCTGTTTTCATAAAAAGAATAAACAGAATAGAAAATAGCGTAGCAAATAACATTACATCTCTGGAACTATTCAATCTCAATATTCAATAAAATATTATTCAAGCATTTCAGTGTGATATGGCTAAAGAAAAACAACACACTGTTGTGATGTTTAAAGACAATTCTGGCACCAGATGAAAATGAGTCTGTAAAAGTTTCAATCATAACATTACATCTGAAAGAAAGGAATTGAACAACTAATTACTAAAACTAAATACAGAAGAACTCCGTGTTCTCAGTAACACTTAAGTGTTAAGTAGGAGAAATCTGAGAACCAGTGCTTAGGTTGGTGATGTATGCCTTCTGAAAGAGAAATCCCCACTTTGACAGCACAGCATAGGCTTTGATAGATTCTTTACAGAAAACTGCAAGGCTGGCAAGTTTCTTCTTTGGAGAGATTTTTTGAGAGCTTGGCACGTCCTATTCCTCAAACCCCAGACTAATTCAACACATGGAATCTAACAGGGATGAACCCAGTTCAGGAAACACTCTCAAATTCTTCTTTTCTCACTCTTGGTGTTCTGTTTTCAGGAAATCAATCAACTGATGTGCGAGTATGTGTGTTTTCGGTTGGTTCTAAGGTCATTTTAAGTTTATCCTACAAGGCCAAAAGAAGCTGCACAACTAGATTAGGATTACAAATCAAACAGGTGATCAGTATACAGTGTTTTCCCAATGCTGTGACCTACTAAAAGTACATTTGCATCCTAACCGCCTATTGATACTGTTGTTGCTATGCGTCTGTCTGTCTCCCTCTCTCCCCCTCTCTCCCTCCCTCCCTCTCTCCCTCCCTCCCCAACTGGTCGAGACAGACGACCACCCACCTACAGCCGGAGGATCTGTCCTAGGTTTCTGCCTTTTAACAGGCAGTTTTTCCTTGCCCTTGTCGCCAAGTGCTTGCTCATGGTGGTACTGTTGGGTCTCTGTAATTAATGTTAAAGAGTTCGGTCTAGACCTGCTCTATTTGAAAAGGGTCCTGAGATAACTTTTGTTATGAATTGGCGTTATACAAATAAAATTGAATTGAATTGAATTGAATTGATACTCAACAGGATTTTACTACGCCATAAAACAATTGCAAAAAGGATTGCAAAAACTTCAGGTACCATTAAGTATGAGTCTGTATAATCTTGATGTCTGATATAAGTCTAACTTTGAATTAGTCTCTAATGCTTCTCTAGCATCCCGCTGATAGCGCTTGTCCTTCACACCCACAGACTAAACACAAGTATAAATATAGCCCAATTAAATAAATATATTACATAACTATCGAGTGCCATATTCATTTAATGGTGAAATGAAAGTGCCGTGAAAAATTATGATAATCATCCAACTAGAGTCCGTAATTATAGCTCAAACAACACAAGTTTCTTTAAATAACTTCTGAAACAACTTCTTCTTCATATGCAACAACATGTTTAAAATAGCTTATATAGAATATCAAGGTGTCACCTCAGTAAATTAATAATTTAACCTGTAATCCTTTCTCTATGCTATGATTAAAACAACTCTGTCACAATCAGACTTCAGGAAATGTAAACTTGAATATGATTAAGGAACAGAGTAGATATCCCATGCAGTGTACAATAAAACTCCTCAACAAGACCCTTTACATACTGTACTGCATGTGCAACAAGAACCAAGTATTTACTGGTAGAAGTTAGCAGCCGATGGTGAACCAACTAACCACACCTGCTGTTTGCAACATTAGACACTAGACAATCACACAATAGGGGTGTTTTTCCCATGATCGAAAAAAAGACTTGATCAGCGTGCCTGAAGGAGAGGATTTTCTAAGCTTGATGCAATTTACTGAGCCAGACTACAATCCCCATCATGGCCCCAGGTGGCACACTGTACCGGAAAGCATTATGAAACAGCAAGATAACAATAGGCCCAGCTTGCCACACCTGAAAAAGTTACCTAAAATCACAAACTACTAAAGTCCCCTGGCAACAGATTACATCTCCATAACATGCAACTTCACTTTAGTCAACTCACTTGATAACCATGAGTATATCAGAGAAAAGCAGTCGGTTATTTAGTCGGCTGCCAGTAATTGGGGATCCATCTGAAATCCAGTTAATGACTTTTGTGAATTGTTGCTGAATCATTCAAGAGAGAATTCCGATGCATCCAAAAATCAATTATTTTTCCGTATGTGTGTGTGTCTGTTTTTGTGCGCTCTGGAAAGCTCTGCAGTTGCAAGACCTGTGTGTATCTGTGTGCGTGTGCATGTGTCTGCTCCTTTTCAGACAGAGACAACAGAGAGGCAAATTTCAATAAAAGCAAACAATTTCCTCCATCTGCAAGCTGATTCCCTATTCCAGCAGGAAGAACTCGCAAACTAAAGCAATCCAAGAAAAGTGCAGTTCATTTCACTTGACAATCTGTTTATGAATACCCATGCTGTGGGATATTGCCCATTTATTGCTATTCAAAAAGGCACAAAAACAGACTCTGGGTATCACCTGCCCCATTCATCTCTAAACTTATTGCATGTTTGAGAGCCAGAAAAAGCAAACAACCTCAACATAAAGTCAATGCAGTATCTTTACAACAATGCAGTGCATTTACAGCTACCCCACAAGGTTACTCTGAACAACCTCTATACCACTTTTTAGAAAATTAAGTGAAGTATCTTCTTTTTAGAGAAAGCATTCTATAATATATTATTACCAGAACAACTCTCTTCGTTCAAAGAACAGAATGCAGTCTCATGTAAGCCATATACTATTTAGCAAAGTGAGAAGAACAACAGAAAAAAGTTGTAGGTGCGGGTTGATGATTCATACATACAGTAGCTGTGTTAAGAGAATGATACTATTCTGAGTGGCAAAAACAAACTCTATCCAAAGGCACAAACAAATTCTGTCTGTGGAAGTATTTATATTATTCTAGCTTCAGGAATACATACATTATATTTCTACATCTCTCTCAGTGTGGTTTTAAATGCATTTATGTGCTGGTAAATTCAGTAAACTAACAAAATATGTGGGGTTTACAATGCACCTGCCCACATATGACACACTGGCCTCTGGGAAACACCAGATAATACAGTATGTACAGTTGATGAATGACAGCAACCTGCCTGTTGGGATCAGGCTTGACGCCCATGTGTCGAGATCCACTTGTGATATGTGTGAGTTATATTCATTTTGATATGTCATCTCGTCTTCCATGCTACTGCTCGGGGCAACATCATCCACAGTTCAATTGTAAGATTGAGACTGCACAATCATCCTGTTTGGTTGCAATGAGAGTCTATTATTCAATAATAAAATTTTCGATTGTACGGCTGCATTATGAAACACTGCCACTCAGGCATGGCCTATTTAGCAACGTGAAGCTTTTCTCAAGCACTGACTTCTTGTGGTGCCTGTTTATAGATCAATTTTCAAGATTAATGGTTTTTAAATTATTTTTCACCCCTTGCTTATTCTCTACTTGCTCATCATATTATGAAGGGAAGAATGCTGTTATAAACCTCTGCAAATTCGCAATGTCAAATTCAATTTCTCTTTTCCATATTTTAAGTTTTTACAGATAAAAGCAGCAGGCACAGAGCCCTTCTCCTTCATCTTGTTCCCTCATTGCTGTCTCCACTTTCACACTTCTAAAATTTGTCTCCTCCTCTTTGAATACAGCCTCGACTTTATCTTTACACCTGTTTCCTCATTACTCCATAACTTCTTCTGATGTGATCCCTCCTCCTGTCATTAGCAGCACTCGATTACTTCAACCACTTCTTCTCCACACACCCACAAGCTGCCTCTTTGCCACCTCCTCCCTTTCCCTTTTTCCACACAGTATCTGTTTAGCTCCAGTCTGGAAAAATTACTTCACAGCCTAAACCTCAGCAAGTGGGCCAGTAAAACAAAGAGCTAGTGAATGTACTGCTGTCGATGCATCATCTCCCATGATGCAGTCAACATGGTCTACCAACTGCTTTAGCTGGGACGAAGGACTGGAGAGAAGAGCGCACACTCATCAGGTACAAGAAGACGTGCTTAACACCCACACACGTTAACAGTACTTATGTACACATTATGTCTGCAATAAATAGAGTTAGAAAAAGAATAGTGTAAACATAGTGGGTAAAAGAGTGAGCTTACACTTGAAGAGATACTTAACTGTCCAATGCAGACTGAATAAATGGCAAAGGCAACGTTCAGGAAACCAGTGACTAATCACTTTGTTCTTTAAAAACTTACAACCCACTATAAAACTCCAGTTTTTCCTTATTTCAATGCTTTCTTTGGTAATTGTTGACTGTTGAGTGTGAGTTTTTCTTGCTCAGCCCATGATTGAACAGTCAGGTGTGGTATGTGGGATATAACGGACATAAACGTCATTTAAGGTTCAAAACCAGTGAAGATGTCCTATAGTCAGACTTCACAAGTATGCCACTGGAATTGAAATTAACAGTGTTGCATTATCCTTTGTCTTGTTACCTCTTCACAATGCGTGGTGAAGTGTGTGGATGCGCGGCCACCGATCCACTTAATGTCGTGACAGGGGAGAGAGAGCAGAGCATGGGCCATTTAGCATCAAAGTCATCAGTGCATCATTTAAAAAGCGCACTGTTTAATGGGGCTCAGACCGTCTTTGTTCCTCGTATTGCCTAAGGGCACACATTTTGGCATAGAGGCCACTGCACGATGTCCAACTATTTGGTCACAGTCACTGCTTCTGTTGTCCACTGGTCTGTCACTGTCTTTCTCGCTCTGTTGGTCTGGGAGATCATTGTATTCCCCTAAACCCCTTCTCTTCACAATCGTCTTTCTACTTAAGTCATGTGTTTTTAAAAACCATGGGTGGCAAAAAAAAAAAAAAACAGTATTTGCTCTGATTCACTGCCTGTTTGAAAGAAACATGAATTCACAGAAACAACACTCCTTCGAACACAATATCTCTTACACGCATAACTAGAAATACAGACAAGTCTATTCCCAAACATGTCAGTCATGCTTGTGTCATGCATGAAAGAAGACACATGTGCATGCATGTCCTACCACAAATCTTATATTTGACACGACTCAGAGTAGCTAAACAGCATCTCCTTCAGGCTAAATATGAAACTGAAAAACCTGCAACTCTCAAGGTAATTTCACCTCTCATCTATTCACATTCAAAAAGTTCTGCAGAAAAAAAGAGTTAAAGAAAAAAGAAACATGACAAGTCAGAGGGCATGAAACAATAAAAAGACAGAAGGTGGCAAACTACAAAGGCAGCAAAGTTCAGTGGACAGAGTTCACATTTTATTTATTTTTTAATTGTTGACCTAAAGCCACCTTTATTCAGATGTGCAAAACTACTGCATCAAGTGAAGGGGAACAAACAATGTGAGTGAGTTATAAAGATGTTGAGTGGTGACAAAACTAACAAATGGCTCTGTGGACTTACATCCTGGAAAAGTCGTCTGTCCTGCGCCAGACGTTTGGACGCTAGGGTTTTGGTGACATGATAGAAGGTTAGCAGCGCTCTGTGCTGCTGCAGGCCATCCTGACCCTTCACAGACTCTAGCAGAATGGGAATGAGCTCTGGCCATTGCCTGGGGCAGTCCAGACGGGCCACCTTGGCTATCAGTACTGCAATCTGGGTCGCTATCTGTTGGAAAAACACAGAGAAAATACAAATGACCGGAGGCAAAGCATTAACACAGCAGAAGGTGGTTATGCCAAAGGAATTGTACTACATCTAGAACATCACTTAACAATATAGCACAATGTCATTAGATATTATTTTAAATTAATAGACTGCACGAGTGGGATACAAATCATATTGTATACAGCTTAGTGCACAAAGTATCCTTTATGCATCTCCTGTTACAGACGGGATGAGTCACATAGATAACATAACTCAGAACAGAGTGCTTGTACGGGTGTGTTACATGTTCAGAGCCTTCAATACAAGGACTATACTATGAAATGTGTGTCACATGACCTTGTCACAGCTTCACTGTCATAATTTTTCTTGGTTCTACACGAAGTATACTTGACACTGACTACGGGTGAGACACAATCATTAAAGCTAAACAGTGAGGTCAAATGTCCAGATTGAAAAGGACATGATATACTCCAGCAGATTGTGGGCAGTGTTTAATAAATGTATTAAAGCTTCTGTTACTACTTGGAAACACCCGTATTAACCAATTTCGTTCACACCATATAAACATGTGTTGAGTTTGATTTGACAGCTGTGGTTCACACGTCCTGTTCCAGTGTAACCATAGTATTAGCATAAACATCCAGTTGAATCAGCAGGTGTAGTTTATTTGTATCCACATATTAGCGAGGTGATGCTCTGTGGCAACAACGGATATTCACTCAAATGTCAGTTTATTAGGTACAGTCAGATAAAACTAATCAAGTCTAATGAAACAGCCCTGCAATAAATCCTACCTTTGTGAAGGTTATAAAGATCAGTTTTTGTTTAAACTGTTTTATAGACGTGTTAATTTAACTTTATGGTCATCTTCATGGTTTGCAGTGATGTTAACTTTTATTGCGATATGGTGAGAAGAGTTTCTAATATTTTGTACACGCAATTTATATCAATAATGATAGACAAAGTTGATGGCTCTGTTACAACATTATAAATTACACTGTTAATTTGAAGATGATAATATTTTCTGTGATGACAGCTTTATCATTAATTCCCAAATCAATTAATCTAGCCCATTTTTACATTCATATTACAAAGATTAAAGCAGAAATGCTTGTCTTTTGATCCCCAGTAATGTTTTATGGTACAACCCACAATCAGTCAGAAAAAAATAGAAAAATAGGATTGCATTGCCTATAAAATTAATGCTTTGATAAAACACACCATTAAGCCTTTAGTAACCTAATTTTCCTAAGTTATGCATAATCAGCATGCATGCAAATTTAATCAATCAATAAGTCATTATGTCTTAAGAAGGTGAGGTTACAAAATTTGCCCTGTTTATAGAACTCTGCTAACTGTCCACACAACATTGGCACACCCACACTCGCATGCACAAATATTCTGGAGTTTTGATTCAACAAGGAGAGGCTATGACTAGTGAGACATATGGTGTTTAAATGGTATTCATTGGTTGCCATATGGACCCTGTCAGTCTTGATGTTGGAGGGCTCTCCCTCAGGGACACACAAGCTGTAGCAACCAGGATGGATGGCCACCATTCAGTGCCACCTTCCATGTCCTCATAGACAGATGTATTACACATTACTTGATTCCTAAATTATTTGGTTGTTGCAGCCTTCCCTAAGAACTGTAAAAATAACAGAAATGTTTTTTTAACCCTCAAATGAGATGCACAATTAGATCTACAGTAGTATTGCTTGTCATTGTCTAGCACACAGGCATCTATATTACCTTTTGTTAAAATAGTACACTTAACAGTACATGTTAAAATGAAAGCCGTCACTAAAGCTTAGTGATGGGACCTACTTCTAGGGATGCAAGCACCAATACCCCTTTTTTTCAGACCAAATACAAGTACAAGCACTTGCATTTGTGTACTTGCCAATACCAAGTACCAATATGAGTACTTAATAATACCATTACAAGTCTAACAAAGACTTGAAAGTGTTGTATTTTCATTAGGTGTTCCTCACTTTCTGACTGTAAAAAATTAAATGTGTGAAAGTTGCTAAAAATATCTCCAAACTGCTGACACTGCTTCTCCTCCACCGACCTGCTCAACTAATGAGAGGTTACATAACTTTGCGCTGCTGTAAAGTGGCATCAGGTGCAGTACTGGAGTAGTTTTATAATTACAATTATGAGTACATGAGTACAGAAACTCTACAGCACATTTCTTACCATAAATCACTGTTGTCTTCCTCTTGGATTAATAAGAGTACTGTGTTTTTGCTTACATTCCTGTATTTTTTTCTCATATAGACAAGAATGAAATCTGCAAACTTTACTTCCATCTTTTTCTGAGATGAGATGTGTTTGATTGGATGGAACAGCTGGTCTGGTCTTACTCAGTCTAGAAGGCATCAGAAAAAAAAAACTGTTTCGGTGTCAACAGGTGGTTGAAATATTTCACATCAGCTGCCTTTGCAACACTTCCTTATTAGAACAACTAGGCTTCTAAAGGTTGTTTTCCCCTCTCGCCTTCATTCCTTGAATGCACAAGGAGGCAGTGCAGAACAAAAACAGGTGGAAGCCTTTTTCAGAGTCTACTTCATCAAATTACACAAAAAACACTGACCCCAATATTCAATACAGTTTGACACCAGTGTTGGTTAAATATATGCAACTAAAATTAAATAAATAAATATAATATAATATAATATATACCGTAATATGATTATATAACATATTATATATATTCTGAAAGCAGGAAAGTCATCATGTGAACATCATGTTGGTTGTCATTTTGCAAGCAATGCAGTGTGAACTTTTCAATTTACACTTACAAAATTACCAGTATAGCATGCTGTTCAAATTGTAAAGCCCTTTGAGGCAAGTGATTTTGGGCAATATAAATAAAATTGACTTGACAACACTAATGTAACTTTGCCAGCAACAATTGCATATCTAGTGTTCATTATGGTAGATAACCCATTTCAACCACATTTAAAGCTTCTGTAAGTGTATTCTAATACCATACTGCAATAATTACAGTACAATACAGCCCAAAAAAAGTAAAACAGAAAGACAGTTTCTTTATACCAGTATATGATGCTGATTTTTTTTCATTATTATTTCCCATGGTGCATCCCATTTTTTCCCACTAACCTGATTAATAGGCTCATTGAAGTTTGTGATGAGACCAGCGCGCAATGATGTCTTCTCCTCTTCTGATAAAGCACTGTGAACAAACCGAATAGAAAGTTCAGAAGTAGTAAGTGGGTCAAGAAGACTAAGAGAGCAAGAGTAACACAATATCTGCACTTACTAAAGGAAAAATCAACACAAAAACAGTACACATATCAAAGTGGTTGAGAGAAAAGGACATTTCTCAAACTGATAAGAAATGATGGGCACCAAATAGCAGCAAAACACTTTTCAAGCACTGACTTTATTTCTTCCATCATGCATCACTTGGGGCAACTTCATTAAAAGTATTTAAGATTGTATTCCCACAAAGAGAGACAGAGAAAAATGAGACTAAACGATACAGAGAGAGAGAAATACATAAGGCTGCAGGAACATTCATGCAAAACACACATGCAAAAAACAGGGTAAAGTCTTGAACCCAGGACCCTCTTACTGCAGGACAAGAGTGCTACTGAGGAATGTAATATTATGATGACCCTGGCATTGTTGAATGTGGCTCCTATCCCGAGAGACTCCTTAGAATTTAATTTCAAATTCTGGAGATGCAAACCTCAAGCTTTGTGGTAAAGATATGAATATGACATCAATCTGCCAGGTTGTTAAGGGATCAATTAAATCTCTGTATAACACTATAGTGCAGGACCTGCCAGCTGCCTGATTTAATCAGTACGCCCTGGATTAACCCCCTTCTTTCTTCCAACACCACATCTTGTAATCTGCAACATGAGTTGAAGTTTCTGCAAACATAGTGTGACTCTGTAAAAAAAAAAAAAAAAAACGTTTACCCTAATTTACCCTGTTCTGTCGACTTTAACTGCTGAAGCTAGATGGAGTGGGAGAGTGTTTGATGTGAGGAATGAATCACACTGTAACCTTGGGCAGAGAGAGAAGAGATATGGGTGGAAGACAAATTACTGGGGGGAGAGTGTGAATTAGTCAAACAAGATTTACAACACACATGTTTTGGGAATCTGGAAATGAGGCAAGCTTTAAAGAAGTATGGATGGGAGATTAAAAGATATGTTAACATAAGCAAGTCTGTGCCCGAGCCTTGTTTTGTGTATGTCAGTAAAACGAACCGCAAAATCTGATGACTGGTGGAAAAGGAAAATCAAGACAGATTCTCAAGACAGATTCTCAGAGAATAAAGTTACCCTAATATAAGAGACAGAAAACAGCCACAGCAAAATACCTTTTTTTTTCCCTTCACCGCCATTTTATTTCAATTTAGCTGGAGTTAATGTAAGGATACATTTTAAATTTAAAACACAATTGCACAGCAACATAATCCTTCTGTGTTTATTTCAACTCCGCATCCACATACACACACATCAGTACAGAAGAAGCAGCAGAAGCATCATCTTAAGAGTAAATCCCTTTATCGTTACTTTAGATAGTTAGGTTGAGGTTCTTAATACAGAAGTAATGTTTCATTATCCTGCCTTAGATTTTCCACTTTTGCTTGTTCTGATGGGTCATCTTTGGCGAAACATTTAATAATATATAGCCAACAGGTAGTGCCAACTTTATAGTGTATATTTTCTTCAGTAAATTACTTTGATTCTTTATTTAAACTAGCACAACACTTTTACAAGACGCATTTTGGTTTTTATGTTCACAGCTTTTTTTTTCCAAGTCAAGTTTTAAGCAATGCAATTAAAAGTATTTAAAACGCCTTTCAAGGAAAAGGCACCTCTGCAAACAGGAATGAGCATGCTTGTCAGCCTTTAGACAGAATTATGCAAATGCATGCATTCTGGACTTGTCTTATATAAACTTGTGGTATCTCGTAAGCCTGTGTGGGCTGAGCATGTTTGAATGCTTAACACATTAATAAAAAACATTCCAATGTCAAGCTAGGGCACGCAACAGACTGATATCGGGTTGGGGAGTGTAAAAAAAAGTGTAAAAACGCCACAAAATACACTCACAACACTATTTAATTAAATCAACGTGTCTTCTAAAAGAAATATACATTGCCCTATTGCACATAGCTTTCATAAATTCTCAGTTGCAGAGCATTTGTTTTGGTTGTGTTTGATCAGATATGTTCAAAGCAGGCCAAACTATGATGACTAACTTCAAGAGAAAAATGGCAGGGCTCCAGAGTGCGGCCAAAATTTTTAAGAGTGCGACTAATAATTTTTCTAGGTCGCACTGGTGCACCTGGCGCTGCCCGGGTGAAAACATAAATTTATTTTGCAAGCGCATCATCTCTCTGTGTTCTCCTGTGACCGAACTCACACACTCATGGTAGGATCATATCGTGTTCTAAACCAATAAGAGACAGAACTAGGGTGGGTCTTTGCCTCTGATTGGCTGTGGTCCTGTTCACCGCGCTAAGTTGTGTGTGTTTAAAAATTGCCGAGCCCCGGTCCTTCGGCGAGAGCATCAGACTCAGAACCAGAGGAGGAGACAACCGAGTCTGGGATAGAGCCCGGCTCCGAAATCCAAATTAAAAAGGCCAAAATATATTCCTTCAGACAGGACTGGCTGAAACAATTTCCCTGGCCGAGGTACAACAAAGGACGTAACGCAATGCACTGCGTGTACTGTCAGGAGCGCGGTCAGAATATGGCCGGAAATAGTGCATTCGTGAGCAGGTCAACAACGTTTCGTATCGAACTTTTAATTGGAAATGTTTTATTTTGCTTAGTGTTTTAGTTTGAAATGTTCAATTTCAGCTGAGTGAAGCACTTTAAACACTTTATTTTTCTTTTTATATATAATTGTGCTTCAAATAAAGACAAGCATTTCTCTACACCTTATTCTTGTTTAAAAATCATTCACATTGTATAAAAGTTATGGAGAGCGACCTTATGGTGTTAAAGGCGACGCAATGAAAAATTTGGATACAGCAAAATGTTGTGCTGGTGCACCTAAAAAAAAAACATTAGGTGCGTGCACCAGTGCAACCAATGCAAAAAGTTAGTCTGGATCCCTGAATGGGCATGAGCATGTCTTTTCCAACTCATGCAGTATCTTCACATCTACCCCTGCATCTCTCCCACACCCCCTTGGTGCAGCACTTGAAAACCTCTGCATTAATCAAATTATGTCAACCGCTTTTTTAAAATATAAAAAATCTGCAATTAGTGTGCCCCTTTGTCTGACTGCAGACAGAAACTGCTTTGATTATTTATCCATGAGTTCTACTTATAATAGGAATTTACTTAACCTGTGACTTCCAAAAATGTCAGTTTTAATTGTATTTTTAACCCAGGCAAAACCTGTATCTTTCTGAGCTGAAAGTTAATGCAGCACAAATCAAAAATATCAATTTCTTATATTAATACATCAGCCCAATTTATCACCCCACCAGTGTCAGACAACGTGTATCTGGGTAGTTCGGGCACTAACAGTCTAATCTTAATAATCTAATCTCTAGCCTTTGGACAGCAAATGCAGAGAACATGGTCTTAGTCTGTTTCACTAATATTTCATCAGTGTGTGATGTTGAGTTCAAAAGATAGTCCTTGCAACTGTAATTTTCCACATCTTCTATAATACCTCCAGTTATATACCAGTGGATGGAAAAGTAACCAGAAACAGCGATAACATTAAGCCTGCTCAGTTAAAGTCAGTAATGTGTTGTAAACTAGGACGCGAGAATGGACGCTGGAGATGCGTATGGACATAAATGAAAGAAATAAGATCCGTCTCCTAACCTCACAGTGTTTCTTTTTGGTTCTTTTTCTGCTGAGACGAGACACTTTATAGATCATATGAAGTAAGGTATGTGTTATGTAGAGCATAACCCACATTGAAACAATTACAAATCAGAAATAAAGCCATGTGAGTTTTGGTTTCTTGTCTCTCGCCCCCTCGTTACTACTTTGTTCTACTGTTGTTAATATTATTAATCACATTAAAATAAATTACGATCTCATAAATCCAGAATCATTAATAACCTGGGTACAGTCCTGGATAGTATTAATAAAAAGGCATGAGGAAGTTGAAGTTATGAAAAAGGATGACCTTCAGTCAAGTATTTGACTTGTCACAGCAGAAAAAGCAAAAGCTGGAACATTAATGATGGCTCCATCATGACACTAAGCCTTCGTCACAGTACATGACTTTCAAAGTCGTCTAATCACTGTACTTTTCACACTGCACAACAATCTGTCTTGTAATTGAGAGACTTGAAGTCGTTGTGGTTTTCACACTACGTGACTGATCAGCAACGGGGTCAAACACTACAGGATCTTTCACAAGGAGTCATTAATAACACCATTAAAAACAAGCTCATTATGTATAATTAGGTAATTACATTTTATTTTATTTTTTTAAAGGGTAATCAGCAAACAGCACACTGCCCTTAGAAAGTGCAATAACTGCTAATTAGCCTGATCAGCCAGCATCAGTAATCGATACACACATTATTAAAACCCTTTAATAAAACTAATAACTAACAGCAGTCAGCGTCTTATCAACCTTAACATAAGTTACCAACCTTATCATAGATTACCATCAGTTACCTTGTTTGTGTAGGGGTGACCAAATGTTAAAAATAAACAGATTAGCAATTTTCTGCTCCCTGCACCAGCCTCCCTTTACGTATTATTACATTTTGACAATTCCTTACGTGTCCATAACAACACCTAACTCTAGAAAAACTGAACTGGTAACTCAGTCCACAAATGTGATCCAACATGCACAATACTGCCATAGGAATATCTTAAGAGATCATATCATCAACATTTGACCAGTTACACAAAGAAATAAAAGAAAAACTAATATCAAATTGGACCAAAACCTGTTCTGTTTAAATAAAAAATAATAAAACCAATGAACTCAGTTGGGATACTGTAAATCCTAGTAATTACAGAATAAAAATGCTATGTAATGTGGCCCACGCTACATATATTTATGTATAGTGATACCATATGCATTGTGCTGTCCCATGCAGTATCCAACTCAAAGATTAATGACAATGGTCCAAAGGTAATCAGATAAATTACCTAAGGGCCAAAACCCTTTCACAGCACTGAATAAAATTCAGTTTACTGAACTACTGACAAGAGGGAAACAACTTTAGTAAGAGGAGAAAACTTTAGAAAGAAAGAAAAGAATAGCAATAATTTGAAGTGGTCAAAGAATGGCCACAGAGTTCTGAAGCAGAACCGATTACCTCCGGCCAACCGCTGTTCTACGAATTTAAGAGCAAATGTTCCATTCAAATCTAACAAAAGCCAGCCAGTCGGGTACCCAAAGACAGACTGTAGGCTTTTGACTCTCAAAACACAAAAGAATAAACTGAGTATAAAATCAGAGCACAATGATATGAATAATCAGGATGAAAAGTAAAAAAATGAAAGAAGAAAGCTGTGAAAAGTGGTGGAGACGAAACTACAGACGTAAGCTATAACTGGTAAAAGAAAAGACAATGGGGAAAATGAGGTATAACAGAAAAATGCAACTACAAATCTGTGACAAAAAGAACCGGGGGAAATGACAAAGCCTCAAAAACAGGAAGAGAGATTAAGACTGATGAATAGAGACAGAGTAAGAGTGAATGAGACAATGGAGGAGGAGAGAATAAAAATTAGCAGTGGGAGAGAGAAAGTGGTAAAGTGAGAGAGCAAGGCTGAGCAATAGGGAACAAGAGAGACCAGCAGGCACTTACTGAGGCGCTACTCTCCTCCAGTATCTGTCAATGCCATTTTTGAAGTACAGCACAGCCAGCCACCTGACGTTCACATCCAGCATGTGGTTATTGAAGATATTCTATGGGGGGAAAATATATATGCTTAGTTTTTTGTTATTTTGTTACCTCAAATAATAATACCAGGCAATTTAAAGACTGCCTCAGTTTAATGATGTGTGACAGCCCTGAAAAACAATGGCACCCATTAAAATACAGAGCACGCAGACTGTGATCTAGAGTGTCTAAATTGTACACACTAATGCAGTTTTATTCCTCATAAGTGCTAACATTTCTGAGTTGCAAAATGTAGCCATAACCCTAGAAAATCTGGCTGAGTACTGTCACTGTGTTCTCAAAGTCATTCTTCTATACAAGCGCAAAGACGGGAGCTCCATAGAGAGCAGCACAGTAATATCAGGGATTGGAATCTTGGCTCTGGTATTTTCGGGTTTAGGAGATGTAGGGTTTTTTTGCTTTAATACAGATATAAAACATTGCTATGTTGCATCAAGGGAACAAGAAGACCATTAGCAGGGCGGCACAGTGTAACTAGTGACTTGAATATGAAAGCAGAAATCTTCCCACGACCACTAAAGTTTTATTAGATGCATCAGTACAACCTGAATTTAGCTGGCCTGACTGACATTTGATTTATTGATGCTGTCCCTCCTGTACCATCTATATACTGATATACAGACACATAATTGTCCTGAATTAAATGAGCTAGGGCACATTCACCCTTTTTGCTTAATTGATATGGACCATGGCAGCACAGGAAGATACACAAAATGCATTAATAAAGTATACACCCATTTTGTCAAGAACGTCTTGAGAAATTTTGCGGCATCTTTGCCCAACACTAAATGAAGAGTATGAAACTGTGCCCCCAACCCCCAAATAAAAATTAAGGCAACTGCCTCACCCCGCGATTCCACCGGGGATACAAGAACCACGTCGATGGGACATAGTAATTTTTAAAAAAAAGATTTATTTAGCCCACATTTGTTTCCCTTTTCACAAATTGCTACCGTTAAAAGTATGACAAATTAGCTATTAGCAGTTCCTGTTTGTAATTTACCCATGAATGTACAGACATCTATCACTGGATTAATAATAAATACTGAAGAAAACTTAAAAACATGATGATTATCAGGCAAGTTCTGGATTTTAACAGAGCATCCTTTATTCTATTATTTCTAGGCGGACCTATGGATGTTTATTCAAGATACTAACATCCTCAAGAAGTGTAGGTCGCACTGAATACAATGTGAGTTATGACTGAGAATGAGCACACTTTTTTGAAGCAAATTGCAGCAATCAGGCGCTAAGGGTTTTTAAGTACCTCAATATCCTCAATGAGCTGCTGCAGCTCCAACGGCTCGCCGTGTTTATAAGTGGTACATAGTAAATGTGATGGCAGACAGAAGATTTAAATGCCTCCAAATTCTGAAGTTACTATATTTATTCTATTTTAGTCTTTGTTTCACAGTTAGACTTTCTCTAACCAGACAATCTATTTCTCTGTGTAATAAAAAAAATAACTAATAAAAAACAGATTAACAAATCTAACAATTCACCTGAAATTTCTTGCTATGACACTAACTTACACTTTTTATCATAACCTGACCAAAGGGCAGGGACAAATACACAATTTTACATGCAAGTTACACTGTTTTTTTATTTTTAAACTGTAAATACTTTGTAAAGATTAGATGATAAGCGAGACAAGTGAAATACTACACAAGCCACCTTAGTTTTATCGGAAAAAGTGTCTTTTAAGACATACTTGAAACAGGACGTTGTGTTATCTGTTGTTTTTTTCAACAATGTACTCATGACAAAAATATACAAAATAATAAATGTTCCTGTAAATGGAATAGGTCTTTGTGCTTAGCGAGGCAGAACACATTCTGGGCCAATTTCTCTGCTCAACGCACAGAGATGAAACTGAAATCCATCTTTTCATTTAAGCCCAACTGAGACGGTATTCCTTTAAGGATTAACATGGGCTTTGTGGTGAATATACAGTAAAAGTTGAGTGTTATTGTCATGCAGCTTGAAAGATATTTGTCTCTTATTAAGAACCTCTCTACAAAGAAACACCCCCTATAGTTGATTGAATTAAGTTACTTACAAGCTAAAGTGCATAAGAAATTAGCACAAACCCAACGTCACCCTGATTCTCTGTAAAATACACCACATTCATTAACAGCACCATTCATTAAAGTTTTAATCATTTTCACTCCAGCAGATTCATTCCAATTATTTGATATCATCCCTCACCAGGAGGACAGAGTAGAAGCCTGGCTGGGTCTCCCACTGTCGGAGCTGCTCCTCCGCAGGCTTCAGCACAGCTGTGTCCTGACTGGTAGCGTGGGTTAAGGCCTGCAGCACCACTGAACTGGCACCGTCAATATTCATAGCTGGATATATCTGCAGGGGGAATACGAGAAAGGGAAGGGGAGGAGGGAAGAAACAGACGAGAAGAGTTTCATTGCTCTTGTTGTAAAAAGTTCTGGCTGAGTTGAGGAAGAAAAAAAACCTTTAAAATAGTTTCACCGTAGGGAAAACAGCATAATAAAACATCATTGAAAAGCTGAGGCAGTCAAATTACATCTACAAAAAAAATGTCAGAACAAGGTATACGTCTTTCCGCAAGCTTTGTCTGGCTTTATCCCGTTGTCACCCATTTTTATTATAGATCAAGCAGTGCTGAAATCACTGACAAACATAGTGAGGAAGAAACAAATCCTTCTGAATAAAGAAAAAGCACACCTGATAGAAACACTGGCAGTCATCTCTACCACCCAAAGAGCTGCTCTACGTCCCAGATATTCGAGCACCCCAGCTTCACAGGTCCAAAGGTGTTTTTTAGTTTCAAAGGAAGTACCAAAGTCAGTCGCATCTGTGCCTTGAAAAAGGGATACTCAGATAGAATAATAAACTACTTCCTCCTCATGAATCCTTCTTTATGACATCACCTCAACGTTTTCAGAGGAGTTTGAGAATAATAGGATAAATGGTGAGAAAAAATAGCATGGTTGTTTATTTCTTTCCATTACAAAACATAGCCAACTTATTTTCTTCAGCTTCAGGTGCCTTCCCAATTCCTTCAGAGAATATATCTGACAAGCATGAAATGTAAAGCTTAGAAAACTGCTGAGAAAGGCTGCCATCTAGAGCCCAGAAACAAACAGTCAGCGTGTGCTTCTGTAAATGGTATGTGCATTAGAACCATCTCCACATAGGAATACAGTAGCAGAGCTTTGCCCACACCTGTTGTCACATAACAGAGACTGATTTGTTTAATAAACAGTCCATGAATTATTAATTCAGTAGCAAATCTATAAGGAAGTCTCTGAAGGGGTTTGTCTGTTAAAAGGTGTAATCGTAGCAAGAGTACACTCTTAAGATTAATGACGGGCCTTTATGTCTCTGGTGGCTATCACACAACTCCTGCTGAAATGTGAGGGACCTTCCTTAGGGATCATTTGCCATGTAAAACAATATCAGAGATGAAAATCCAAAAGCAAACCCTAATACAACAGTGACTGCATTAAATGCACATGGAGACTAAGTACAGGATGGTGCATCCCAATTATGTTTATGCGCATGTAAACATTACATCCTGGTTTCAGAAAACTGGATATGCATTCATCCCAGTTTTGAGTATCCCAAACATGCTTTCTGGAGTATCTAGAGGAAGAAATTGTGTGGCATGTTAACACCTACTCCGGTTTCCTGAATAGTCTCTGCAATGTGCGCAGATGCGTCGTCAACTCAAGTTACGCAGTGGTTAGTAAGTTAAACAAAAATAACATATGACACAATCATGATCTGCATGTTACTCTGATCTTCCATTACTGGTGATCAGATGGAGAAGTTAAATCCAGCAGAGAGGTATAACTGCAGCAGTGTCCAGACAGCCTGAAACTAAACTGTGCTCATCTTCAATTGCTGGGGAAGCTGGTACAGAAATAAGCCTCTTGCAAGCACGTGATGCTTGCAAAGCCGCAAAAGATTGGAAAGTGAATGTTCCATGTAAATAAATCATACCCCAAACAAAAAAAAAAACAAACCAGAATAGGACTCAAAAATTCAGAGACAAACATAATATACTAGAGTAGTACAGGGAACTTTACTGTCCCCAAGGGAAGCTTGTCTTGGGCACAATGCTACAATCAGCTGCTTCATATAAAAAAAGTCACAAAACCAACATGAAACTCATGAAACATGAAGAAGACATCTGACTAAACTTTTAACATTGACAAAATGGCGGCATGAAAGAGTGACTGTAAACTTAAAGTGAATGAGTGCTGGTATATTTATTGCACATTGCTCTATCGCATTTAGGAGATTAGATTATATCTAGATTTAGATTTGGGGATAGACAGATTAATCAGTCGTCCAATTATCTAGAATTTTGAGATAATCTGCATCAGCCAATGTCTGTGCTCCCAAGGCTGATAAACAAAAAATGTCTTCAGACACATCTGCAGGTAGCCTTGTTAGTGTGGCTGCTGTGGAACGATGTCAGAGCTCACCCTTGTGAGATCTGGGAAAGTGGGGACAAAATTGGTTTTGAGCCCTGTATTATAACTCCCATGCATCCTTCTGTACACATATGCCTGAATTTAAAAAAAGGAGAAAAATCCAAATTGAAGTGCAGTAAAAGTTGTGGCTGACACTGGGTGCAACAAGAGTGAAATGTTACCTAATTGAAAGAGCATGACAGAGCAGTAAGATTTTCTTCCCTCCACCTGCAACTAAACACACTACAATGTATTTTGGTGTCTATCCAAAGCAATCCCACTAACACAGATTCTGCAGATTGGCTTGGGATACCGCCCCCCATTCTCTGCTGAGAGTCTTTTCATACACACGTGCTTCACACAGCATACGCAGTGAGCACAAACAAGGGGTTTTGGCCCTGCTGTAAAGTGATTACAGAGAGTTATCTTTAAGTGTTTAGAAAAGTGTATTCACATCTGTGAGCTGTGTGGCATTTTAAGATGCTGTCAAGATGAACTAACAGGTGGTACCATATCAATGCAAACAAGGGGTATAATGGTTCTGAAACCGAGATCGAAACTGCGATACAAATATTGGCGGCTTCAAGTCTCGGTTGAAATGTGGTCAGTTGTTGTTGGTGCTGCTTCTCTAGCTGCCCACTAGGTCTGTAACATCATAGGCCTAATTCACTGCAGACATGACTTGCCGTGGTAGGAGACATATGAGTGCTAATAACATTGATGTGTCCCAGTAGCCGTGACAGTGAGCCAGCATGCACAACACCAGGACCATAAAAACAAAGCAGCTAGATGGAATTCAGCCGTTATAAATTTAATTATTTACACCTATGCTTTTCTTACTGTGACATATAAAAATGTCCCCTGTGAAAAAGGCAGACTGTCAGATTTTATATAGCCTGCGCTGTCTAATTAAAGCCCAACGTGTCCCAGGTCAGAAATACATGCACTCTTACTTCATATGCTGAAAGAATTCACACACTGTCAGGAAAATCTCTGTGCAATAACACTGTGACTCAAACATCCTCCGTACCTGTACAATTATTTATTCTCATCGTTTAAATACAGTTTCTTATTGACACATATAACCATCACTCAAAACAGATCTATGCATGCCGTGCATACTGTATAAACTGTCCTATCTACATAATGTATAGAAAATAACCTGACACACAAACATACGTATTCATCCCTGCAGCCTTTGCACTATCGTCTGCTGTGGTTTATATATCTGTACACAGTAGTTTGTTTGTTTGTTTACACTGTGGAGCTTATTCCCCTGTTTATCCTGCTCTATACGTACATTGAGAGCAACATAAAACCCGAGTCATATTCCTTATATAGGTAATAATACCGTCGAATAAAAGTGAGTGTGACGGGTGAGGAGACAGACAGGGACACTGTGAGGGGAATCGTACCGGTGACCCTTGCGACATGCGCATTACCCGCTCTCAGTGATGTTGTATCGCAGCAACCCTTACACACAGACTGTGTGTTGGGGTGGGGGTCTTATCCAAAGTAAGCCAGCTGAATATCTGGTGTTTTGCATATGGCCCCTGCTTGCTAACACTCGCTAGCTTAGTTGTCAAACGCTGGCTGCGTGAACAAGTAAGCTAGCGACAACATACCGTGTATCCGCTAATGAAGGCTAAACGCTGATAGCATTAGCTCCACCAACAAAACAAAACAAACGTTACCTTCGATGCAGCTAAGTCACATTTCACTAAAGCTAAAGTTATCCTCTTGCCTGGCCCTATTACAGTATACAGCTATGTGCGTCTACAGGCCTTTGTCACAGCACAGAAACGCTGTTTTGATAAAGACTTCAAAAAGCACACACGACATAATAACATTGATAAGAAACGTGTTCATGAAGTGGGTTGGTTTATTGTTGAAGCGCAGAGAGAACCAAAACAAGTGGTCAGAAGGGAGCAACAACTACTACCATTAACGTTACATGTAATTTATTTCGACTCACAATTGACTGTCGTAGCTCATGTTGCTATAGTGGCCCTCTCTGCGTGTCATTTACAATAAATATAAGACAGCCGCCCACTCAACCAAAGAAACGGGCGATACTGAGTTTCCAAATCATGCATACCCCAGACACCGAAGCTAACTTTGGGGTTAGCCAAGCAAGCTAAACTTATTCAACGCGAAACAAAAGGGCCGACAGTGTCCGTGGTGCAACGTAACGTCTTTCCGCAAGCACGTGTGTGAAAGAGAGTGAAACATAAAACCGGACTCACCTACAAGACTGACGGTGGGGGGAAAAAAACGGAATCTATGCTTGTAACAGTGGCTGCTAAAGCTCGGCCAGTGGGAGTGTAGTGGGAGGTGGACGCACACGCTTGTAGGAATGGCGCGAGCAACACAGCAGGCGCGCTCTGATGACGTCCGAGGTTCAGCAGATTTCCTTCGTCATGAATGAATGAATGAATGAATGGATGGATGGATGAATGGATGGATGGATGGATGGATGGATGAATGGATGGAGCCAGCTGTTGTTGTGTGCTGTGCACGCATCGTCACTGCCTCTCATCGTTATTGTTGTGTTTTGGAAAGTACTCAAAGCATGTGATTTCGGGAGTTACTTTGTAGAGCTACATCTGTGTAGATTTGTAAGATTTATAAAGGTGATAAAACTGTACAGGATGTACATTATCAGCCCTGTACTATAAAAAATATAACTTGCCTACTCAAGCATATTCATGAATGTGAGCCCAGTGGGCCTGGCAAAAACATCAAGAAGTCAAGCAATACAACAGTTTAGTCTCTTCCAGAAACTCTGTCCTCACGATTACGTGGCCTCACCCAATACGATGTCGTTTCGAAAGAAATCTCCGTAAACACGGCGTCGTTTCCAGAAATATCTGCGTCCACACGGATTCACTGAAACCGCCGCAAAACGCTGTAGTGCATATGCCAGGCCTGTACTCTACACTAAAACCGGAAGAGAAGCCATGGAGCATGTGCTGTTTACAAACAAGTAGTAGTAGTGTGGCATTGTTGTTGTTGTTATGATGCGTCTAGCGGTGGCGGCTGAGGTTAAGGGCTAGAGAGGCGGGGCTAATACGTCATCGTTTAGGAAAAAATCAGTTTTCGCCGTCCAGACGACTCCGGCAATCTGGCGTTTTCGGATTTTCCCACTCTGGGACACGTTTCCAAAAAATACAGTTTTCACACCCCGAAAACGCCGTATCCGTCTGGACGCGAGGCCGATACGATAAAGTATTTATCCCGATTCGAGAAAAACTTATTTGTGAGGACAGGCCCTTAATCTCTACACTGCTCACAGTTTAACACATCTAAAGTTAGTGTGAATTGTGACACCTATTGCTTCTTTGTAATACAGCGATTCTAACTATTTCATGTGCACTTCAAAGAAAGTAAAAAGACTCAACATGGAATTGTCTTTTATAAGAAATGTCATGATTCTGATGCATATAGAAATCGTATTTCTTCATTAGGGGTGTTGTGGATGAAATTAGGCCTGCAATTAACCATTATATTCATTATCGATGAATCTATTGATGAATAAGATGTTAATTGAATTGATAAGATGTCAAAATGTTGTGGCTCTTCTCCTGATTACATTATATGGTTCATGACAGATGGTTCATCCAATGACTTGCCGAGTATTTCTTAAAAGCGCCTGCCCATTAGACCCAGTATTTTCTTTAATCAGACACAAAGTTGTTAAGCATAGCAATCAAAGTTAGGTTAAAACGTTTGACCAGACCATTAAGGGGAGGTTCTAACCTTTTTGATGCCTAAGAGCTGATCTTGAGACAGTGTGCGGATTCTCGAAATACGAACCTGGATGAAAACTTAAGCATAACTGTGGCTACTAATTTGGCTGTTACTTCTCTAAAGGGCTTCTGGATACCTAGTGGCATCGTCACAAATGACAGCCTGACTCCTTTCTAATATCTACTCCAATCTGCTCAAAGGGAGTGGAAATGACAGGGAGTGGAATGAGGGGTGCAGGAGCTGTATGCTTCCCTGCAGTGAGGTGACACTCTGGGCATGTTTTGCAGTAGCTTATGCACCTCAGCCCTTGATTTCCAAACACAAAAATCTCAGTTAGTGAGCTAGACCCAGCTTCTTTTGTTTTCATGAAACACTCTGCAATTGGATCAATTTTATACAAAAGAGCAAGGTTACAGGAAAAGGCAACATCCTCCTCAGCTAGCTCTGGCGCCTCAACTTCCTACTTCAGCCGCTCAGCTGACCATTGTAGCGACTCCCAAACCTGCTCTCTGCGGGACCCCAACCTTTCTTCCTGTGTGACTCTGGACACTGCATGTTTCTGCTTCTGTGTCTGTGTCTGTAGTTGTAGCTGGAACTTGATGAGTGGAAATATGACATATCTGTGTACAGTTACATCAGTCTCTCTGCAAGACCTGCCTCTGAAGCTGGACTCCCTACATCTAGTGTGACAGACATGGGCATCTCTTTAACCAACAAGAGTGGGACAGGTGTAACTGTGTGCAACACTGGTGGGGCAGGGATCTCCCTTGCCTTAGACCTGGTGACAACTGCACACAACCTAGTCCTACTCTCCTGGATTAGATCCAAGATAATTGAATGCATCTGTTTCTAACAACACAAGATACAACAACTCCAGAGTTACTCCCTCTTTCATGAGGTAAATTTGGTTCTGAACTATGGCTGTGTGCACAAACAATCAGCACTGTCTCTACTGTCTGTCATTGCTCTCTCTGTACAAACCTTGTCTGAACAAGAGAGTGCGAACAACCTAACCTGTCTAATAATGCAGAAAGGGGTCTGCCATTTAGCAGGACTGTTGGTGACAACTTTGGGGGAGGTATTAATTCAGGTCTTAGGATGTAACACAGGTTTGTAGCTTTGGGCTTTTTAACTGGGCGGGTATAGTTTGCCTCACTACAGTTGTGACACACTATTTCAGCTTTGTGACCTGACCGAGGCTTGAGTTTTTTTTGGTTCTACAAGTAAAAGTTTTCTAAAGGCTGGCCTGGCCCGGTGTATAGTTCCCTACTACTACCTTTGCCCAGCCCCTCAGACTTTCCTTCTTGAGATCTGAGTCGTCCTGCATAGCAGTAGGTTCCCAGTGCCTTGTAAGCAGTCATAGTCATCCACCTGTTTAGCGGCCTCTGCAGTGGTGGCTCTTTGACCTGCACTCTTTGACTTTCACTTCTTTGTACCGCACCCTGAGATACAGCTCAAGGACTATCTTCTACGTAACCTTTTTTCTTTTTTGGTGTACATGTCATACTGGATCCATTTGCAGAATGACCTTTTGAAGTTGGTATACAGTTCTCCTCAGTGGGTGTCTCATAGGAGTGGAATCGCTGATGGTAAGTTTCTCTGTTGATTTCATAGTTTTTTCAGTACAGCAGCCTTCCACAAGTCATAGTTCTGTGTATCTACAGGGTTCATTGCAATACTAGCGCCTCTGGTCTTTTCAATAGTTTCTATGTACATGATGCTACCTCATATATCTTGTGTCCATTTGGACTGTTGTTGTGCACATGCACAGAAACACACGTCTGCAACATGAACACATGGTCAAACAGCAGGTATAGCACTGGCTTAAGAGCTGTGTGCAAGCTACTTGAAGCACATTGTCCCAGTGTTCTTTGTGTCCCAGGAATATGTACTTCCTTTCCATTTCTGAGAGGAATAAGGGGGGGCAGTCACAGACACTGAAACCTATGGCTTTGTTCTTTGTTTTCTAAGTTCACAGTGTGCTGTGAACTCCTCACCCAGATCTGGAACTGAGGGGTGTTGACAACCAGGGATTGCACAAGGTGCTTGAAGTGCTTGAATTTTGCATGGGAAAAAATCAAGTACCTTCATAATAGCCCCTTTTTAAAAATGCTGTCTAGAAATGGATCTTTGTAGCGATTGGCTTTTGCTGAATAACACCACCAACCTCATTGTGCAAGATAAAAAAATAGGAGTTCAGGGGTGCCCTATAGCTTACCTTGTAGAGCTGGCACCCCATGTACCAAGGCTGAGTCGTTGCTTTAGTGGCAATGGGTTTGAATCTGACCTGTGGCTCCTTGCTGTGTGTCATCCCCTCTCTCTCCCCCCTTTCCTGTCCATCTTCATTCAATGAAGGTAAAAAGCTCCCCAAAAAAACCTTTCGAGTAGTAACTTTATGGGTGAGTCAGCCCTCAAGGGCCACATGAAGTACTCTACTGAACTTACAAAAGTGAGATTGTGTTTCACAAGCACTTTGATACTATTTTGTCCTAACAAAGTAAAGCAGAGTTGATAGAAATCACTGTGGTGACAAGGTTACTGTGAGGGAGAATGCCTCATCGTATGTGTCATGATGACAGTTTGAGAGCCCTCAGCAACATTCACTCTCCTTTAAGTCCTAGAGCTAAACAGGTTCTGCAAGATGGTTTTCCATATCAGCTCATCTTACAGCAATTACTTTGGCTCACTTCGAGAGAGTTAATATTGTTCTTTCCAGTTTTCACACACATTCTTTCATGCCAACGGCTTCTAACACAGTAATCTCATTACAATACTGACTTTTGGTAGGCAAAGTTTTCACTCTATCTAGTAGGCTGAAATTTACTAATTGGCCAAAAAAGGCCTTGGCAATGGCAATGACCTTTCATAAAAGGTTGTGTATGTGTGGTTGTGAGTCTGTTTGAAAGCATGGATGCATGGATGCGTGCACGTATATGGGCACAGCTATTGTGAAGCACACCTGTTTTTCGGACTACATGAATTCTAACCACGCTTCTTTGGTCCTCTGTTAAAGGTGGATTAGTTAGTACTAAGCATTTGATCAGATACTGCAGTGCTGATGGTGATGGGAAAACCGTAGTCTGCTTCTGATGAAAAAACTCAGATATTTTTAAAAATATCAGGTTTGAGTGATAGAGCCTAGAGTTTTGCCACTGTTACATCACTTAGGCTTTGTGTTAAAATTATTTGGAGTTCAATGTGGGCTCCTATTTCTGCAATTTTCTGACTTACTGGCTGCTCCGGCTCACAATCACAACAAGCTAAAAAGCTACAACTGAATATAATATTTACCGGTACTATTTGTGTGTCTGTGTGTGTGTGTGTGTGTGTGTGTGTGTGTGTGTGTGTCTGTGTGTCTGTGTGTGTTAGCATGCAGGTCTGAGGTAGCGAGCGTCAGGGTCTGTGCATGTGTTTGTGTGTTCCTGAAATGGGAGTGTTCTCTGGCAGAACTATTCCCCCTTCTGTCATTCTTTTTTTTAAGTGAATCTCTGAACTAAACACAGAGAGGCTTAAAGCTGGAGTTTGTTGTTGGACGAGCATGGATTTAATGGAATTGTTTTTCATTTCTCTTGGTGCAGCAGTTGTTGTCTACTATGGAGTGAAACTGCTGCTTTTCAGTAGGATGCTTTTTCCAAAACTATGGTTTCCACTGTCAAAGTTCTTTTTCACGTCCATGGGAGAGTGGGCAGGTGAGCTATGTGTGTATGCATGGGCATGTGTGTGTGTGTGTGTGTGTGTGTGTGTGTGTGTGTGTGTGTGTGTGTGTGTGTGTGTGTGTGTGTGTGTGTGTGTGTGTGCATGTACTGTAATGTACTATATCAAACCTACTGTAGGTCATATTATGGCAAATAAATGCTAGGACTGTAATGGATGCGGCAAATAGCATCAGGGCATTTACACTACATTTGTGTATTTATAAATACTGATATGGCTGAATGAGTACAGTAATATGTGTAAAAAGGCACGTGTCAGAATGTGCCTGTGCATGCAAAAACTCTGAAAACAAAAGTAGTTTAGTTGTCTGAGCACACTGTTGCTTGGCTGTACGGCTGTAAGAGAAGAAGTTTGCTGTTCTATACATGTTTAGACTTTTCACTGTGATGCAAGATTATACTTGTGTAATAGGATTCATGCCTATGGAGCAGCTGCTTCCAAAGCAGAGTGAGATATAATCAATGTTATTTATGTATCTACAAAACATACTGCCTTTGTCTTTTCTTTACCATAACAGAACATTCATTCTGTGTTAATGTGCAAAATGTCCACTGTGTGAAGATAATTGTATGGCAAGGGAGGCAATCTGGAAGAATATTCACACAACAGTATAAATTGCTCTGCCTTCAGCAAAAGTTTTATAATGAAGTGCAGGGTAAGTTGACAGAAGGGATTAAGGATATTAAGAAAGGCACTACTACTTTCTACAGCTGGTGCAGGCAGTCAAACTTGTAAAAATATGAAGTTATCATTGTGTTTTTTTTAACCTAAATACAACTGGGTGCCCCCCAGTTGTATTTAGGTTAAAACATGACCGTCAGCTCCAGCTCGCCCAGCACACTGTCTCCCAGTAATTACAATGAACCATTCCTGCAGTCCTGAGAGTAGTCTCATTGACTTAAAAGAAATCCATTGGCATCTTCTGAAGAGGTTATTCAGTCTCCCACAGTGCTAAAGTAAGTCTCATAAAAAGCACAGAATGGTAGGCTGATCTGTCCTTTCTTTCCATAGCCCACTTTCATTCCATTCCAGCACAGGGAAAAACAACCATCAGAACAGTATGTTCTTGGCTGCATAAATGTCTGCCCTGATCTGAAATCACATTTGCAGAGTTTGTCTCATTCAGTTGAGTCATTTCAATTTCAAATGGCCTAAGGTGTATTATATGTCTTGAGGACAACCTATATATGACATGTATGTATGCATGTGTGTGCCTGTGCCTTTGGTTGAGTAGTGTATCCGAGTACAGTGTATGGCTGATCATGTTAGGAATAATTATTTATATATTTCTTAAATTCATAAAACATTACAACTAGAACATTTAGCATGGTCAGGGATACTCTTCACACTATGGGACTGAGGATTTCTTTGATATATACTGATACTGCTTATTAATAACAATACTTATTGATACTACTCTCCATAATTCTGTAACACATGTTTGGAAAACATGAACAGCCACAAACTGTTAAGTGAAGTTAGAGATTTAGGTGGCTAGTTTGCTTTTCATGGTAACCATTAACCAACATTAGTTAACTAATATAACTTGTCTTGTGATGCTAAATAAATTGGGCTTAGGTATTATACTTAAACTGACATTTTTAATATCAGGTGTTTTTAAATATACCGTTTATGGGATTTTTAACACCTATGTGAATAAATGTGGACATGTTACATCTAATCTCTCAGTTTGTAAATCCAAATGTGCTTTGTTCTGGTAATGGATCATCCTGATGGATAATCAGACATTTCATGTTTTAGCTTTTCAGAGGGAAAAAAACAAAGAAAGAAACTCTAAATTGAGTCTACACTGCTGCAGTCACTAGTCCTCAAACCAGCTCAAACCAAGGCATGCCATCTCATCCACTTAATCCAGTTCTAGTTAAATACTGATGCCCATGTCTTTATGTCTGGAAATAATGACTAACAGATCCTGTGACCTTTGTAGGATGAGGAGGAGATGGGAGAGTAAAGAACACTCAGAAACAAGCAGTTCCTCTTTGTTCTCAGAACTGGGGAACATGTTGTGTTAGTACATTCTGTTAAAAAAGGATGGGTTGGTTATATTGTAGACAAATACAAACATAAACTCAATCCTGGGACTTGTTTGATAGGAGAGGAAGAGAGATTACGTAGTGCAGCTTTTATTCACAGTGCCCCTAGTGTTTAGAATGGAAATTGCAGGAGAATATGGCAACTGATGGGAGTCATTTATAACACTAATTCCTGCATCCTTGTTTTAGTGGTGACTGGTGCTTCAGAAGGCATAGGAAGAGCATATGCATTTATGGTAGGTGGTTGTTTAAATTACATTACTAATGTTTGCATGTATGTAAACCGTTCTGTACTTGAAATGGAAGAATATGAAGGATTTTCAATGATAAAACACCTGCTACAAATTCTAACTTTTGACCTGTTGCGGGTTTTTAGGTGTTTTTATTTTCAGACTTGGTCAACAAAGACTATCTGAAGCTCTTTCCTGCTCAGCTCATCGTGCAGGTTAAAATATTTAGTTCTTATTTGAAGTACATCTGCTAACCTCTTTGTCTTTGTCTTTGTCTTTGTATTTTCATTTCTCTTACTGTCCACCACTGCACAACTGCATCCCATAGCTTGCTGAGCAAGGAATGAACGTCGTAATTATGAGTAGAACTACAGTAACACTGGACCAGGTGGCCAAGGAGATTGGTAAGAACTTTCTATTGACCTATTTTATTGTGTCTGCTTTTAAACTTGGATTACATCTACAAATATGCGGTTTGCCAACTACAAGGGTACATAATGTACAGTATATTGCTGATCCCACGTTTTCATTTTTCAAAGGCGATACCACAGGACAGAAGGTGAAAGTGATAGCAACAGACTTCATAAAGGAAAATGTCTTCAGTGAAATTGAGGAGCAGCTTAGGGACCTCAACATTGGGGTTTTAGGTAGGACTTTTTAAACTCCCTTTTACTATTGCATCCACAAACACCAAAAGAAAAGGGTCATTGTTTGTAGAATAAAAAGGATAGTAATATGTGCTGATTTTCTTCCCCCATTTGAAACTGAATCTTCTTCTTTCCTCTACCCCAGTCAATAATGTAGGTGTTCTGCCCAGCTTCATCCCCTGCCAATTCCTAGAGTGTGCAGAGCTGGACCAGGTCAGTGCCCTGTGTAATTTAGGTATTTTAAATGCAGCATGGTTTACATCCACATACATGTATTTACTTGCTGTGTTCTTCTTCCACGACTTTCAAGGCTCATTACTGCATTTCTTGGCATGTTACCACCACCTGTAGATCACTGAGGTAGCATGAAACCATTGGTATGCACCCTCATGCATGTGCGCAAGATAAAGAAAACAAGGATCCACTCATAGAAAAACAGCTCCACAGCACTACTAGATGTCAAAAACACCACAGGGACATTTAACACCTTTAATTACTAACTTATATACTGTTTCCATTTGCATTCCTCAGAGGGTCTTACAGATAATCAAACATTTCACTTGCCTAACTTTTTAGGAAGGAGCCCCTTTTTAAATTCTTAAGTGTAGCCACCCACTTAACATTTTCTTTCCCTTAATTGTCAGTATAGACAGCTTACCTGGGGCCCATGTTGATTTATGATTTCAGACCGTTACAAAAGTGATAAACTGCAACGTGAAAACTATGGCCAAGGTAAGAGTGTATATTTGCTACAGCTTCTTTCCAAACAATGACAACTCTTACAATTGCCTTGAAACTGAACTTATTTTCTTTTTTCTCCAGATGTGCAAAATAATCCTTCCAGGAATGGAGAACAGGTTTGCTATCCATGTTTTCTTCATCAGATGTCATGTGTAATACCATAAAATCATAACACACTGGTCACAAACTTAAGACCCCCTATTTTTTCTGCTTTTACAGGGGAAAAGGGGTGATTGTGAATATTTCGTCTGGAATTGCCACTATTCCATTCCCCTTGTACACCCTTTATGCTGCATCTAAGGTAAATGAAGCATCACCAGCTGCACCTGTTGTTTTTACCTAAATCATGTTGTAAGATGACTCATGCTCAAATTCTTTTCCTATAGGTGTTTGTGGAAAGATTTTCTCAAGGTCTTCAAGCTGAATACAAAGATAAAGGGATTATTATACAGGTTAGCTTTGTTTCTTATTGAGGCTTAAACTCCAAGATCTTTAAAGCTATAACGTGTAATGTAATGAATAAATGTATATGTAACATCTCCGCATTTAAAAATGTCTAGAAACACTAGACCTATGTTAAATATTTTGTTGTGTATTTACATTATGGTTAGAGTCCCCTGTCAATGGTGTCAAAACTGAAGCATGCGGAAAGGGGTTGCGCATGCTTCAGTTTTGTGGTTGTCTACCAGAAGCTGTCATGAATAGACTTTTTTTTCTTTTACAATCTAAATACTTCTTAGATCTTGGTTGTTTTAAACTATATATAACAGGATGAAGGATTTTAGTCATTGGACGTCTGGATCTTTAGAATCAAGCTGAGCTAATGTTAGCAGCAGCTCGCTCTCAGCCCCTCCAGGACGTTCTTTATCTGTGACACCGTCAGAGAAACATTGATTTCTAAAGTGAAACTGCTTTATTCATTATTATTTTACTAGTTTTAATTACTGGGTCAGTTTTTTTTTAAGAGGAGGAGACCTCTGCAGGTAAATCGGCTCCCGGTAGAAACCTGCTGAGCTGCAATGACAGCGGTGGTGGAGAAGACAACAACTCCTATGATCCCACACTACTATCAAACTTAGTCTTTTGTTATTGTTTTGATGTGAGAGACCCCTTAGTGGAAGAAATTACATATTGTACATTTAAATCAAGTGAAGAGTCAAGAATCTTGAAAATATCGTCACACAATTTTTTTTCTATTTGTCTCATTTTCTCAGACAGTGGCTCCATTTGGTGTCTCCACTCGACTATCAGGTTATCAGCCGATTAACATGGTGACACTATCCCCAGAAGACTTTGTTAAATACTCCTTGCAGTACATCAGAGCCGGAGACAAAACAAATGGCAGTGTCTGTCACATAGTTCTGGTAAGACTCCGGCATAACCATCTGATAATGTCAAGGAACTGATCCCTGTGATTATGTATTGTGTGTCTGAGTATGCGTATGTGCCCACACAGGGCTGGATACTGCAGTCTATCCCTCTCAAGGTTCTCCATGGAGAGCTTGTGCTAAACAGCCTACAGGACTATGTCAAGAAAAAAACAACACAGCGCAAACTTTGAAAATGGTAGGAATAAATAACCAGGAACAGCAATCTGAAGACATTTGGCTTACATATTTCATACTTTAAATAAAATTATGATTATGGAACTGGTGTTGACCAAACTTTTGCTAGTATATTGTGTTACGTTGTGGATAAGCCGGCCTCAGAAGAGCACCTTCATTAATTGTTTTATGTTCTTCAGTTCTTAATATTCAGAGGGATTGATAGGCCACATCAGTTTTTTGTTATTTTAAAAAAATGTTCAACTTCCATATCTTTCTTTACATCTCTGCTTTATTCCAAATATACTGAGCCTACTCTCACAATAGAGACACATAAACTCAGTGTCTGCTTTATCAGGTACACCTGTAAAATCTAATGCAATCCATAAAGGCTACTTATACTGTTAAGTATAAATTCATAGTCACCACTCTTGACTATGAATTTAGTAATAAACATATAAGTGGACTTTTCCAACAATGTCACCAATAAATGAACATTATGAGCTTCGTAGTGGTATAATGTATGACAGGGCTGTTGCAATAGATTGTAGAGAAGTGTACCTAATCAAGTGGCCACCAAGTGTAAATGTATTGCCATTAAGGGGCTTTTTTTCAATCAATTTGCCCATTTCATTGTAAGATTTGACATTAATAATTTGTTGTCTATTTGTTGCCCTTTCTGATTTAGTGTATACAGTATTTCATTTTATATGTTCCATTGCAAACCACTTTTCAATGATGATGAATTCTGAGTTTACTTTTTCAGCAAATGTATGAAACAAAGGCCATATCTTGACATTCCTTTCACATAGCCACATCAGATTAAAAAAACTAAAAGAAAAACATCATACCTTTACTACCATAAACACCTTTAACCACACAGCTGGCACTCCCAGTACATTTTTAGACTGCGTGTGTGTGTGTGTGTGTGTGTGTGTATGTGTTTATACCCAGTCCCCCATAGTCTCGTAAAGGAACATGATAATGAGTGTGGCGTCTTATCTGTAAACTGAACTGTCCTGTTCTGTTATTCACCCCCCTACACACACACACGCACGCACACGCGCACACACATAAACACACCTGCAACTCTCATTAGCATCCTCCTTTCCCCTCTGTGAACATTTGATCAGATGAGTACACCACCAGACAATTTCAGGTGTCAGTCACCGTTCTGATATCCACAAAACCAGTTGGGGTTGGAAGAGGACTGATGAGCTTCTACGTGGTTCCTGAGAAATGAGAATACACTGGAGACCTGTGTTTGATAGCCTGCTGCTTACAGGATGATGTACAGTGTTTAAAACATGCACAAACGTTCCCTCATCTGTGCACGTACATATGCATTAGCAGACACACATAACCGTTTGAATTAGTATGTGCTACTGAGATGTCTGACCTAAAAGAATCACTAATCATGGGGTGACCAGGCTGTTTTGGCAGCTGTGATGAATGATCCTCCCCATGAGAGATAGTGCAGGGAATAAGAAAAGTGGCTTTGGAGAGAGAGAGAGAGTGAGTAAAGAGGTCAGAGTGACCTTAATGATCCGTGCCTGGCCGGACTTTTTGCAACTCATCCACACTTGAGAATAGCCTAACACTTTTACAACAATTAAAACACCATTGTACCAGAAAAAGAAGATTATAAAAGACCATCATATCAAAGCAGATATATAGTGATATTGTGTTTGATTTTGCCAGCTTTAAAGGCCTACTAAGGTAAGTATAGTAGGCCTATAACTTATGGTTTTTGTACTATGGAATTGTCAGCTATTATATTTGTTCTTCCTTAGGCAGGGTAACTTTGGGATACTTTGAGATACTCTGATGTATTCTTTAATTGTATGTCTCTTGGTAAATCTCTGAATTTACTTTTGTATATTCTTTTAAACTGATGAATGTGATTGATGAAAAAAATGATGAATATCTTCGGATCCAGTTTCATTTGATTGTGTTTTAAGATTGGAAACATAATGTTGTTCCACCCTGTCTGACATATTCACAAAGATGTATGTTATCTTGTAATGTCATGATTCATTTAATTTCAAACCCAAGCCTTCTTTGTTATTGCTGCACAGTTTCATTAAATGGTAAATTATCTTTTGTATAATTTTATTCAAGTTTACCACAAATTCATCCTGACATTCACGATTTATTTGGTGTTTTGTCAAACTACGGGATCTCTACTTCTCTGGGTTTGAACAATATGTGACTGCACAGCATGACTTTGTACTGACTGTACTGTGAGTGGGACATTGGGGCGGAAGAGGTTAAAGTGACCTTCGCTTTCCTAATATTTGTATAACCAAGTCTTGTTTCCACTCAGTAGTGTTTGTAGATTTATAGCAAGTGAGTGCTTGAAACTGTTGGGAAAGACGAAGTGTGAACTTTAGTACTAAAACATTTAATATTGCAGGGTCTATGTTCTACTAAGGACGCTGACATGACCAGCACATATTTGTCTGGTTTGCCTTTATCATACCTGGCATCAGAACCAACATGGTAACAACAAAAGAGTAAGTAGGAAATCATTTAAAACTAACTATTATGAGGTGAAATTGTCAGTTTGATTGATTTCATGTCTTTTTCAGAGTGGACACACAACAAGCATCAAACGCAACTTAATAAGGGTCAATTAAGTTAAGTGACACAACCGTTTTTAACATTTCTATCAGCAGTAATAATTTATGGCATGGCATCCGTTATCCAGAATTAGACCTAGAAGGGCAGCCTGCAGCCAGAGAGTGACCTCCACTTATTATTCCCTGAACAAAATTTTTGTGTCACAAAAATACAAAGAACAGAACAAAGAACAAAATGTTCGAGCTATGACTACCAATTTGAACATTGATCCCTGAGGCAAAATGGCAGCAATCTGGAGTCCACAGTCCATTTAGATGTTTAAAATAGGACTGTGAAGTCGATCTTATTGATTTTCATTATTGTGTAACCATTTCTATCTGCAATAAATAATATGTTTATATCACTTTGTATCACAGATATGTCTTGGATGGCTTTACAATCTTTACAAGCACATGACGCCCTTTATCCTTTAAAACCATAGATGTATGTATTAAAGCACATTAAATATGTCATGTGTTCACTATGTAGTTTCCTCTGTGATCATGGTAATATTCAATATAGTCACTAGAGGGCACTAAATGTAAAGGTTTCACAGTGCCTTCTGATAATTGTAACCTTGCTCTGCAGCAGGTCGAACACACACGCTCACTCACTCTCTCTCTTTCTCTCTCGCTCGCTCTCTCTCACACACACATTATTTAAACTAATGAAGGGTCAGGTTATTTCCACATGATGATCTAGGCCTGTAACTTATCAAAAACAGTCTCTGCACGTTGGTGATTTAAGAGACTGAATGAGCAAGCCAGATGGCATATCTGTTGTTACCAATTACATTTAATTTAACCAAGTTACTTTGCTACTCAGGATGAAGGGATTCAAGTTTCTTAAAAGAAGAAAATCTATGTACAAAATTCTAAATTAAGCCACAAACCACCAAAAATCTCTTTTACATAAATTAACAGTTTAATTCAATGTAATGACACTACTCTCCACCAGTGGGAATTTCCAGAAGGTGTGTTATCTGTAATACTTCTATCATTGCACCTCCTTCCAAGCGGCAGTCAAAGCAGTGTGTATGTCACCTGCAGCTGAAATCCAAAGTTGTTTTCCGTGGTTGCTCAACAGCAGGGACTTTCCTCACCTGAGGTGATCTGCAATCCAGTGCACACATTTATGACACCTTTTAATTTACCAGCTTTAAAGCCTCTCTAACATCAAATGAGGTTCTCAGAGTTGATAAGTCAATATTACTACTGTCATAATAGTCGGTTATAGGTAGCCAAGATAGTTCTCTTCTATTACAGAGCATCAATGTGGGAGAGCTTCTCTCCTGCACTCACAGAATAATGGTTTTACCATCAGTCGGATCATATTTTAGCACAAATATTAAGTCAAACTGGCTTCAACATGTCTAACGCCTCTAGCAGATGAGAGATTCATTAAGAAAGGGGTCAAAGGAAAGCCATCGTTTTCATTTCAATGGGTTGACCATGGCTTATGTGGGTGGTCAGGACTGCGAACACAGTCTCTGCATGCAGCTTGTGTGTGTATGTTTGCTTGTGTGTGTGTGTGTGTGTGTGTTTGAGCAGGGGTAAGAAAAGGAGAGAGGTGCTGCCTTTGAGGATGCTCCCTGTGTGACTCCTCTCTCCTCCCTGGACGCTGCTTGCTTGTTGTTTCAGTAAACAGAAGGGTCCAGAGATGATCCAAGACAAGCACACAGTGACCGCAGCCCACCCAGGAGCCAAGGTCAGGACCACTAACCTTCAGACACATACACGCATACGCATAATTTTCCAGGCTGACCCGGGAGTTTTAGTTTCAGATTGGAACTCAATCGCCTCATTGCTTCAGAAGTCTAATCTAACGTGATAATTGTTGAATCAAGATAGCCATTCCCCCCCCAACACTGGATAATGCTGAACTCCCAATAAAAATATTTGAGTGAATTATTGGAAAGATATAAAACCCCGATAGCCAATTATATACGCTGTGCATTTTTGACTCCATATTTCCCTCAGTGGCTTTCTCTCTGAATGTTTTCCATATCCTGAATGTGCTGTGCTTGTCAGTACGACACACCAGTAAAAATATTAGAATATTTATACTAGTTGAAATATTTCTGTGACATAATTACCACCTTGTCTCTCAAACTTTGTTGCTGGGCACAGGGAGATCCATTCTCACAGAGGAGTTCTAGGGGCAATTATTTCTCACAGGAGTAATAATACCTACCACTTCTCTCCTATTCAGGCTGGAGGTCTTTGAAACTCAAGAAGATAATTCCAACCCTTCATCTTCTCCAAAGGAGCAGGCTGTCAGGGACGGGCTGCACTGTCAGCGAGGGAAAGCAAACAAGACGAAGGAACAGAGGCAGAGAGGGCAAAAGAATGGTAGGTGGGGAAGAAAAAGGGTTAAACAAGGAAGAGCTTCAGAGAGAGGGACGGATCGAAAAAGGGAAAAGAAAAGGCTGGTGACTTCTCTGACGGGTCCAGTGCTCACATATGGCTAGGCTTTGCTTGTGTAGCCTCACTTCAAGGCGAAGGGCCCTGCAAACATAAACAGTAGAAAGGCTGCAGCTGGAGCAGGGAGGCAGCCGCTTGCTTACCGAGACCTCTCTACACTAAACAATGGATCAAGTGACGCACAGGCCTTTGGCAGTGCAACAGAGACCCAGGCAGCTCAGAAAAGCCTTTCTTCCGTACGTTTATATCTCTGCTCTCTCAATATTTACCCCATGGGAAAACACACAATTTTCCGTTCCTTTTGCTCTGAAAGGAGTGAAAGAGTAGACCTCCCTCCATCCCAACTTCAAGACAGGACAGGGTCAGGGAGGACAAGTGTCTTTTTGTACAATGTTTGATGTAAGACGCTCTATTTTCAACAACTATGCAACTCTGTCTAGAATTCCATCACTTACACACTCCGACAGCTATGTACAGGTGTTGGGAATGAATAGATTTAAGCTTAGCCTTTCCTTCACCGCTATTCATTGATATTCACACGCACAGCCTATTTCCAGCCGGTTAAAGAGAAGCAAACAAAATGAGGATTAGCCTCTCGTACTGTGTTTGTTACTGCATCAGAAACTTAGTTTGTACAAGTGTGTGTGCGTGTGTGTGCATCTGTGTTATATCTCTTTTATGACAGGGCACAATGGGGAACGGAAGGGCCCAGGAGCCAGTGAATTAACCAAAATTACAGCTAACAGTTGCCTGGGTAACTGGATAGGAATGAGGGGCAAATGGTGTGTAATTTCCTAATGAAGGGGGGGGGTTCTTTTTCACATTTAGAGACCTCCTCGGCCTGTTACCGTAACAACAAGAGGACTCTGTACCCCCCTAATGTAGTTGCTTGCTTGCTGAGTCACCTAAACGTTTTTTCATAGGCCTTAGATACAAACTGTTTATCCTGTTCCCTCATAAACGGCTATGATGGTCAGTTAAATACACGTTGGATGGATACATTATTACAGTTGCCCTGAGGAGAATTAAACATTAATGATAGATGTTTGTTCAGACTTAAAGGCCCTGAAAACTACCAGCATCTTACTATCAGTGATGGGATCCAACATGAGCACAGTTTTATGCCTAAATTAAAACAGCTTTGGCAATTTCACATGAGAGATTTATGTATTTGTGCCTCTTCTCACTGGTTTGAAGTGGGTGGTGCTCAGTTAGAAAGGTGATGTCACATACATCTGTGCACCAATGACACTTGCCAGGTTGTTTGGTTACTGTTGATCAAATAAATAAAATAAAAAACATAATAAAAATAAAACCACACCCACACAGTCCTGATGAAGCAGATTAGCCAAAGTTCTGAGTGTTAAACTCTGTCGCAGTGAAACTTAAGTTAAATCATCCTCTGTGATGTGACTGAATTTTGTGTTGAATTAAGTAATACGGAATATGTAGACACTGCACAGGGTACAGTTACAAGAGAGATTTAAATCAAATCCTTCAGATAAGATGTTCCTTTATTGATCCTCCATATGGGAAATTCAAATCGTCACAGCAGCACAGGGGAATGTAGTAAATATAAAGAAAATAGAATAAAATATATACACTATATACAGTGAAATGTTACCTAAAGATGTTTTTTGTATATAGAAATTACTTTAGATTTTAATCCAAAGTCCCTAGTGCTTTATTTCTTTATGTGTTTGTACAAGAGCTAGTTCTTAATCAGGGACAGTTTGCAGACCTTCATAACACATTGCAGAGTGAATGTATGGAAACCTGAGCCTGAGATGACTGGACGCCTAGGTCAGCATAGGTCAACCCTCATTCACAGCTTTTTACTAATCAAATCAAACTAGGTGTCACAGTCTGACTTCTGCAAATAAACCTACATGGCCCGGGCCGTCTCTCTGCCGCTCTGACTGACTGCCTAGTTTATAACATACTCACAGACACCCTGGTTATAGTGGCAGGAAACATAAACAGACTTCTCACCCTGCCCTTGACACAAAGAGACAAGACACTAATAGGATAAGTGTAAAAACTCTTTTGTGGTAGTTCTTGTGACTCCCTCTAGGTATGGGGAATTGCACCAAACGGTATGCAATAACATAAAATACAATCGTAAGACTGACTTGAGGCATTGTCACAGATCACTCATGGTGGTTGTACGTCTCACTCCAGATCCTTGGCAGAATCCTGCAATTAGCAATAAGGATAAGAAAGCTTTGTTTGCCACTGAGCCATGTTAGCTGGCATCCATTAGCCTCCATCCACTGCTAAGCCTCTCCGCTATCTCACTCGAACCGGACTATGACTACAAAAAGACAGATAGGGATCTGCAGATCTCCGGCGTGGGTGACACAGACATAGAAAAGCAGAGATGGAAAGGTTCAGGGTTTGAGATAAGAGAAAGGGCTTTTTTATTCTCTTCTGTGATTTGAACAGGTGTGACGGATGTGTGGCCTATGTGTGTGTGTGTGTGTGTGTGAGATAGTCGTGATCTACCACCCAGAAGGTCTACATGCACACATACATACTATTTACCAAGCTGCATGTTCTGTTGAGGCACGTAGTCCTTTCCCTTGTTTATTGATAGCTATCAGCACTTTCTGATTTCTGCTCAACCAAACACAACTTTCACAGAGCACTCTCTTTGGGGTTCAGTGCAACAGCTGAAAGAGGTCAGGCACAGCTTTGAGGTTCAGCACATACACATGCACTCCTGCACATACGCACACAGTAAGGTTTTACTTTGTTTTCACATTACTGATAAGCAATAAGTTTGATATGTCAGTAACTTTTTTTTTGCTTTTGTGAAGTGGTGCAAATAATTCTGTCACCATAACAGAGTTTAAAACACACTTTAACCAGGAGTGTGAAAGGGTTAGGGTGGAGGGTTGGGTGTTAAAACTACTCCCTGGTCCCTCCTCCCCCCAGGTCCAGCTCCAAGTATTAAAGTGCTTATTGTTATTTCACTAATAGCGCAGCGGCTTCCACTCTTCAGAGTTTCAGATTACCGTGCAGAACAGAGCGTTGGTAAACCACCTCATCTGCACTATATGCGCACTGTCATGGGGAGTGGGACGCAGTGAGGTGTTCAGAGTGACGGAGTGAGATGCAGTGAGGTGTTTTACAGGGTTTTAAGTGATATCCCTGCATGGCCATCAACAGCCCCCGGATGACAGTTGTGGTATCCGATAACAATAATGGCTAATGCCTACAGGGGTTTGGTTTTCTCTGTCATCCACTTAACCTCATATCAGGTGCAGCAACAGTGTGAGCAGAGGCACTGATTAACTGATAATGAAAATACTTGTTATTTGCAGTCCTATATTACATATTTACTGTGATTTTTGTTGTTGTTTGGCTCAATTTTTTCACTGTTTTCTACCTGAGTAAATTCCTCTGTGATGAGATGAGTGCTTCTTCAGGGGTTGTATGTCTTAGGTAAAACATTTTAAAATAAAGAAAGAAGCTGGGGAAAAAAATTTCATAAAATATACACAGGTTTAAATTCCAGAGTGATAAACACCCTGTTTATTCAAATAAAAGCCAGCATTGTGCTACAAACCCATAAATAAATGAACACTGAACATTTTCAAATAATCAGAGCATATAAAAAGACATTTCAAAAAAGGTACAAATTATGACATTTTAAAATAAAATAAAAATCGGAGGCAGAAAAGCCCACTTTAAATATCCACTCAGTTTTTTTTTTTAAATCTCCTTTAGAACTGCAAAAGTTAAAAAGGTTAAAATACATTTTGAACACTATCTCATTGTCTCTCTTGTATTATTTCTTCCACAGGAACTTCTCATTAGTCTTCCAGAGACTCTTGCTCTCCTCTTCTCCAGACCGACTTCGAGCTACAAAATTAGTGTTGATGCAAACCCTCTGCACTTCTGCCGGGTCTGTTAACCTGTTGATACTCTCCTCATTACCCTCATTCAGGATGTCCCAGAAGTTTTTGCGACTGCCCTTTGATGCCGCTGGGTGTGTAGTATGCGTGTTTGACTTTGCAGCGTCTATGAGGTTTGCTGAAGCAGAATCAGTGTTGAGTGTGATTCTGGATGGAGAGTGTGTGGTGAGACATGTACTTACTGACACAGAGGAGAGTGCAGGGGGTGTTTTTGGGGTGTTCCTCTGTTGTGCGCCTCTGCGTTTGGGTTTTAACAAATCGTCAAGGATTGAGGTGTCTCCTATCAGATCTGTGAGGAAGGAATGGGGACTGGAGATAGATGTGGCCTGCTCAGGAGGAGAAGGGGTCTGAGGATTTTCTCTCTGGCCTTGAAAGGTTTCCCTGGTCCTGGGAGGCAATTTTTGCTCTCGCTCCATTCCCTGTGCTGTGGGTTTAGGAAACGTGGTGGCCCTGCCATGGCTGAGGTCCGGAAAAGAAGGGGTATCTCTGTCTGTGCGGTTCAGGAAAGCAGCAGCCTCCCCGGACCCCAGACCACTGCTGCTGGCCTGATCCAAGCCAAGACCACCACCATCTCTGAAGGCTCCAGGACTCGAAACACTACCCCTCTTTGTCCTCTTATGTCTTCTGGCACCGCAGACCGTCTGCTCCTGCTCCTCTGACTCAAGGCTTGGGACATCACTTAAAGGCTCTAGAACATTCTTTTGTGGGATCTTTTTCTTTTTCTGGGGTTCTCGAACATCATTTTGTGGGTTTCTAGGCTTTTTCTGTGGTGCACAAACATTGTTTTGTGGGGTTTCAGGCTTAGCTTTGAGTTCAGGATTCTTCTGATTGTATTTAGGCTTTTTCTTGGCTGTTGGAACATCCTTTTGTGGGGTTCTAGTATCTGCGTGAGATTTTGTGGCAGCTGTTTTGGCGGATTTTGTGGAGGAGGAGGAGGTCTGTGCTGAATCAGGTTGTGGGAAGTTGTTTGCGACTGTATTAGCCAGGTCAGGGTGGTTCAGTGAAGTGTAATACTGTCGTAGCCAGGCCAGTCTCTGGGTTGAGTTTCTTCTAAGAATCTCCTCTGCAAACTGATGGACAGAAGGATATTTAAGTTTTTCCGCCATTTCCTCCAGCTGCTGCCTACACATAAGCACAGAGACACAAAGACAGAGATTAATTGTGAAAAAACAGAGTTATAAAACCCAATTTTTATAACTAATAGCACCTGCTAATATCCTGTCAATAAACACACTGTCAGTACAAGGCCAGAATTGTCAGCATACTGTATGTTAGTTTAAATCACGTGTAAAATGTCTTTAAAAAGCCACAAGGCCTATACTATTAATCAGATATTCTGTGGGTCTGTCAGGCCTAGCCTAAAATGAATAGTTGTCCACATATTCAGGCTCATATCCAGACAGCCACGCAGTATGAGGTGTTTTTCCTGAGCTTCTAGGCAGTCATTAAAACTTTGGTCTAACTAGACTCTGGGACAGAAATACTTCAAAGTCACTGGTGGTACAGCTGCATTATGGTGGTGTTATTACCATTTGTGGCTTTCACTGGAAAAACAATAAATAAAAGTAACGGCAGTAAAACATGACGTGCATGTGGATTTAAATCATTAAAACAGCAAGGTTAATTGAGGGGATATCAATATAACTAGTGTGTATTTTCACTCCCCGGTGAGCCTCTGGGCAGAGATACAGTCTTCCCCTTGGGGAGTGAGATTAGAGCCACAAAGGTGTCTGTGTGTCTGTATACAAGTTTGGGAAGGTAAGGAGTTGATGCAGCAGGACAGAGTTGTGTATTTGAGTACTGTGTGTCTGTATGTATGTGTGAATGCTTGTTAGGACGTGTGTGATCAGTGTGGGTTTGGAAGTCCTCGGGCTATCATTTTTGGTTAGTCTCAGGAGGGCTGTGGTTGTGGAGGGGAAAACTCCTGCACTGTTGGGCCTGAACATAACTGGGTAATCTTTGGCATGATGCTGGGAAATAGGTGGAAGGAAAAGCTCAGAGGTGGTCTCTTGCTAAACACACACACAATTCCTGAGGCCCAGGTAGGGGCGCTCAACACCATATCTGTGGTGAATTTTGGCCTACTTCCCTACACTTCCAGGAATTACTCTCTTCTACTACACTCTTTACACCCCCTTTCCTCCTTTCATCCACTGGCCTACTTTATTCCCATTCAAACCTTCTTCTCTACATCTACCCATGACTGTCCTGCCCTCAATTACCCTTCTGGTACATTAATCATATCCTACAATATGCTCTTTTTCTTTAACTCCTTTCTCTCTAACTTCCTCTCACATTTTCGCATCTGTTTTTTTCTCTTCACCTAAGCTCCTTTGACACCCCTATCAGTACCTGCATATGGCCTGGGGAGTCTCTCCAATGATGAAAGTGGTGTGTCTGGTTTGGTGCACACTCTTGCCGGCGAAGGTGACTGGATAGTCCACACTGGGCTTCTCCGGTCCGACAGCAGAAGGGCAAGGCTGACTGTCTTTTGGGCTCGCTGACAGGCTCTGGTACAATCAACAACAAGAGTGAAGTTTTATAAAAGCAGTGACCAGCTCAAGGCTGGGCTAGTTATTTTGTCTCAGACTCAATCTATTTGTTCTTAGAAATTAAGGATTAAGACAAACAGAAAAAAATCAACCCAAAACATACATGTTTCTCTTATTAGGTGGCATCTATTTAATAATAACGTTTTTATTTTGTTCAGATTTTCACGTTTTTAATGTCAGATATTAACCCAATACAACCCAACCCAAAGTTGTCTGCAAATCTCTTTATGAACCATTTGTTTGAAGATATTTTACCCAGTTTGCTCACCAACTGTCTCCAGTCAGTACCTTTAGCTAAGATGTGCAGACTTATGTAGACATGATAGTTGACGTGAACATTTTGGACCACATATTTGAATATAGGTAACCTACAGTGCTGCTACTAGCACCACAAACTATAGGTAATCTACAAAGATCAGTATGTGTTTACATCCACTCTCATGTCGTAGTGAGCATGTGTGTCTGATACAGTACTGGCAAGCCTTATTCTACACATGCAATTTCCAGGCACACTTTTGGTAGAAAACGGGTCTAAATGACACTGTTTATGGCGAGGTCTGTGGATTATTGTAACTGGAGAAATATATTCCTGTTAAGTTTTTCAAATGTAATTTGGTTAATCTAATCTAATTTGGGATGGCAAGAAGTAATCCCAATTCCTCTCCAAACTTTGACAAATCATCAACTATCTAGAATGTTCTAAGGGACAGGAAAAAAAAGATTACATTTTCCACTCATCTGTAAACTAGCCATCATTACGTTGCTACGATGCTGGATTGGGGCTATGGCCGATACAAGCACAATTATATGTTTGAAAAATGACTTAACCAGACCAGTGTCAACACGCTATGTACCTCCTGGGTGCCTAGAAGGTGATTGGCTGGGAGCTGAGAGTACATCTTGCGTTCGAACACATCTCGTACAGCAGCTCTGCTGATCACCTCCTCTGCTTTGCTCCCGCCCACAACACGCTGGTTGGAGTGAGTATACATCACCTCCTGTACACCCCCTTTAAGCAGAAATATATATAATTAACATCAAGTTAAGTCAAAATGATTAGCATATTTTTCTTTAAAAAAAAGGTATTGAATCTGACCTAGTACACTGTCAATAGATCCACCCTTTCCTTTGGATGCCGGGGATGTCGGATTTTTCAGACTTGTAAATGAGACAGCTTTGGGCACCCCTGCTTGTCTCTCGGTCCTGTCGGCTGTTGTTGCTCTTTGCCCACTTTTTGGCAACTCAACCCTGGATCTCTCTGTCTGTGGAGAGGAGAGGTTGCATCCTTTAGATCTTCCTTTCTTAACAGGAGTATGTTCATCTTCTGAAGATGTGAATGTCTCTATGTCTTCTGAGTATTTGGATCTGGCCTTGTCCCTGACGCTAGCACTTTGCCTCTTTCTGTTGTGGTCCAGCCTTCCTCTCCCTCTGTCTCGTCCTGTATTGTGTGAATTTAAAGCGTCCTTCTTGGGCCCCGTCATTGCCTCTATGTCCAAATCCTCAGATTCATCCGAGTAGTCCTCAAAGCGACGCACTCTTGCAACTGTAGTTTTGAGCTTGTTAAGTTTCTTTTTGTCTGGTGAGGAATTTTCATCACTCTCCTCATCCACTGTAATTGTGTTATTTGTCCCCCCTTTCAGGTCCTGTCTCTTTCTTACGGCATCATCATGCTGTTTCATCAGAGAAACCCTCTCTTGTCTCCCCCCAACTCCATTCTCCCTCTCGTCCCTGTCTGAACTGCTAGAGATGTCCCAAGTTTTCGTTCCTAATTTAGGGAGACAGACTGCACCATTTCCGGTATTTGAGCTCTTGCAGATGCCAGAGGAGGAACCCTCCCTCTTTTGATCCTCAACATCTTCCTCAGAGAGGCTTTCTTCAACACCAGGACTACTGTCCTCTCCTCCTAACTCTGTTTTTCCTTTGAACCTTTCAAGGAGTCGGGAGAAACCATGCTGGAGGAGACTCATTCGACCAGGACCAGTGGCAGCATTCCCACCCCTGTTGCTATCCACTGCACTGGGGTTTGACACCTTCCTCTTAAACCCCTGCTCCTCCTCATCCTCTTCACTCGCACTGCTGAAGTCCAGCACCCCTCTGGGGACCTTTGATGCATCTCTGTTCTGCTTGGCTGGTTCATCACTCATTACATGGCCATCTGTAGTCCGAGAATCTCCTGGTTCCTTAGATATAACAGTAGAAACAAACAACTAAATTAAAGAAGGGACAGACTGGAATAGAACTCGGCACAAGGTAGGCAGTATGAGAACAATAAATTGATATGATAAATAAATAAACTGTATATATACTGTGTAAAAAAGATTTAGCTAGAAAATTGCAGCAAAAGGCTACAAATTCTTTACTTCCCTCATCTATGCCATCTTTTCTGGACCAGCCCATTTGAGAGTTCATCGTGTAATACAAAACAGATGTCTGTAACAATAAATCATAATAAACATCCGTGCGACATATGCCCTCCATCGTGATGTAATATGAAGAAAACAAAAGGGGTCATAGCATTCCATGGAGATATATGAATGGGCCTTTATTGGAGCGACCACCAACAGTGATTCTAATTTCACAAAATCTGCCAACTAGATGACTCTGCCCCAAGTCTGCTATACTTGTGTGCACGCTGGTGCTTACACGCTCCGAGCCTCTTTCTGTGCGTGTTAAGGCACCCCAGTGTATTCTGTATTTCTGAGAAGAATCTGAATGGCCTCAGTGGAGCAACAGTCCAGCAAAAAGGACCTGGCTGGGAACAGGATGATAAGGGGTATCACTGTGTAAATAAACAGCTGATAGACTTCAGTGTGGTCTACTGTTTCCATTAGGACAAGCAAGTAATTACATCCAGCTGTTTCACACAGCATCAGAGACAAAGTGAGAGGCAGACAAAGAGAATTTCATCCTCAGTTTTGCAAAATAAAAAAAGAATTAAGGATATAAATGCTTTCTCTTAGTGATACATCATTCACATCTACTGCATTGTGTTTTTTTTTAAAGAGCATTAAATACTTATTCCCCATGTCTGAATTAAAGCTGACCACAGCTCCTGTTTACTGTCAGTGTGAAAACTCCAGTTCGTTACAATGGATTCCAATTATGACTCCAACTTCTAACAAACGCTAAGCTAATGCTCAGTATGTTGCAAACACTCATACTTCAGGCAAATACACTGCTTCAAGGGGGCTTCAGTTTGAGAATGATGATAGTGTGACCTGAAAGCAGTGTAATTAGCCATATTTTGCTGAAAATATAACTTCTGAAACAGGAGTGGTATTAATGGTGATATTTTTGTTACTTTTTTTCCACTGTAAAACAAAATTCACCATATGAATCTATTGTAACTGCCTGAACTCAAGCTAACCACAGCTGCTGTGAGGAAACTACAAACTTTTTACAACCGCTTTTAAAGCCTACCGCAGGGTGAGTATGTGATACTGACTGACTGAACACTATCACTTTCTTCATGTTCTTCATTTAAAAGTACCATCATTTATCTCAATTTGACAATTTTGAGAAGCTGTTGTTAGCATAAATGTGACATAGCTCAATAAGCCCCTTAGAGAAAAGAGGAAGCATATTAAAACAAAGAACTGAGGAAGCAATAAAGAAAAGAAACTGGAGCTCAGACAGAAAAAGTTAAATGAGATTGTGTGGGTTGGTTGGTTGACTGACAGACAGGAAGGTCCCTGTTTGAGGTATTCCCTCTTTCACGTGGGAATGGGAGGATGAGTGGGCCGCCTGGGAAAGAAGACAGAGTGAGGGATGGGAAAGATGAGTGCTCTATGTTCTGGGTCTCTGAGAACGGCAGAGCTACTCACGCTAACTCCCTTCGTCTCCTCCTCCTCCTCCTTCTCTTCGCCTGTGTGTGTGCTGGTTGTCATTACACCGGACTCCACTTGCCCTTCTCGCTGAGAGGAAGAGCAAAAGTGAGACACGCAAAAAAGATAAACATTTCATTGTATAGCATCAACTCAATGACAATGTAATTATCAACAAAGGACTGATGTTCTGATATTGAGAGGAAAGAACATTAAGTGCAACATGCCTAGCTAAGGGCTCCATTGCTTGTCCATATGACAAAATAAGAGTCAATTCAAAAGAATAAAAATAAAGTTCTGTTATCCGTTTTTTGAGACCTTGTGAGACGAGGTGGGACAAGGGGGGTCAAGGCAGTAGAACAGTAGAACACATCATAACTCAAACAATAAAAGGCACGATGGCAATCTAACCTCTAGTATCGTGCGAGTGAGGCATGTCCCTTGGGTCTGCAGTCTGAAGAGGTTTTTGAGCCCAAACAGCTCCCCCTTATGGACACCATGCCCCTGCACTGCCTCAAAGTACCGCCGGGCACTCTCCTTGCCCACAACTGAGCACTGCAATTGCTGTTAGATGGAAAAGAAGATACAGAAAATGACTCAAATTTTGAAGCACTGTCAAATAAAATTACTATGTGTCTCACAGGTAGTAAAGCAGATAGCCACAGTGTAACAACATGTGAATCATTTGTGCATTATAATTACGTGGTTAATATCTGGTACCTGTTTGTAAACTTGTCTGAGGTAGATAACCTCCTCTACAGTCCCCAGTGAGATCAGCCTAAGAACAGTAACATCCCTGCACTGGCCAATACGATATGCCCTGAAGAGAGACACAAGCATATCAACACACAAGAATCATGCACATAAACCACCAGTCAGCACTGAATATAACTAGGTACGCTATACTGGCAGATTTAGTGCTTTTTGAAGTCCACTCAGAAAAGCAACAGCAAGAATATTTATTAAATTCAACTTCTAAAGCTTCTAAAATACATTAGAATACTGTGTAAACTCTGCCAAGATATGGCCCACAACCTACCTGTCAATAGCTTGGAGGTCATTGGCTGGGTTCCATGTGGGGTCAAAAAGCACGACCACATTGGCCCCTACAAAGTTAAGACCAAGTCCACCTGCCCTGATAAAACAAAGAGTCAGTTATCGGCATAATCAAGGGTATAAATATGTTTAAATTAAGCACTTACTGAAAACAGAAATAACTGTAGCAGACACCATATTAAATATAGCATACTGGTATAGCTTAAATATCAAATTCTAGGCCCAAAATGTTCTTTATCTGATTTATATTATTCAACTAACATGGTGGAAACCAGGCATAGGTTGGTGTGGGAGGAGCTGTTGAACTCTTTGACAATCTGGAGTCTCTCTCTGGCTTTGGTGGTTCCGTCCAACCTGCTGTAGTCCAGCCCCTCTGCCATGCAGTAGCTCTCCAGCACATCTAACAGCTGACAGGTTCAGAACACACAGCAAACACTTGTGATGGGTTCAAGCCACATGAATCAACTGCATAAAAACTGAACATCTCTACATCTACTATGAGAATTCACTTATTTTAAAAGTTGAAATGTATGAGAGATAAAAAATGTAAATGCTAGACTAACAAATTTCATAAAAAAACAAACAGAATATCCCCAGGCTTGTATATTTATAGATATACTATAGGGGTAATACTGAGTGCAATAAAAACTGTACAGACTCTATGGTTCCCAAAAAAGCATAACAAAGGCCATAAAAATATGACCTCATAGTAGCCAGAAATGTTATCATACTGTCTCAGGTGACAGCAGCCATTAGACTCTGCAGAGTCTAATTATCTTTAAAACTCTAATCGCCATCACTTATAAAACCCTGAGGCTTACCTATAAATCTATGTCATGAGAAAACCATGTCTCCTTCTACTATTTTCTCAATAAACAAGTCATAACAGCGTGGCAATTAAGAGTGTTCAAGCCTGTTTTGTTGAAAAGCTGAATTGATGGGTTTGGGCGTAAAGCTCTAAAACCAACGAGCGTACTCCAACTCTGACAGAATCTAAAATCCTATTTAGATTACATCACTGCGAGCATCTAGTTGTTTTTCTACGGGGAAACTTGCCCTGCTGCTCATCCAACTCTCACACAATATACAGTACATCTCTGCAATCACAAGCGTGAACTCATTGACACACAAAAGAGAGATTTAAATACGCACAAATACAGCTCTTACCTTGGTTGAGAGAGAGAAAAGAAGTATTTTGTCTCTCTTTTGCAGATAATATTTGAGCAGCTTCTGCAAAACCTGTAAAAACATACAGTTATGTTCACCCACACTGAAACAGTCCATAATAAGCAGGTGACCGTGCCTTTATACCCAAACTGTACCTTCATCTTTCCACTGTACATCGGGTCCGACAAGGCCTCAAAAGCTTCATCTTTGCATCTCTGCACAAAGTCTGGAAACCTTTGGAATACCTTCGCACAAATGCCACCCACATACTTTTCCTGGAAGAAACAAATGAGTTGTAACACTGACTCAAATCCATCACTTGAATATGTGGTATGAACTTAGTCTTGAAAAGCTGCCCAGGAGATAGACCTAATGAGCAAGTATACAAAACCCGTTTCTACCTGTTTCTTGCTGGTGCCTGCAGTGGACTGAAGCAGCGCTACATGGTTGGCAACCTTCCTCAATATGGCCAAGTAACTAAAGTACAGTACCTTCATTTCCACACCTTCTGAGTTTGTCTGCAATAAAAGAAAGTGATACTATTTGAGGGCTAGATCTTTAATTTTTTTTTTAACCATATCAAGGTTTTTCATGAATGTCATTCAAATGCAAAAATGAAGGGTTCGTTCATGTGTTAAGGTGATTTTAATTAACTTAGATGTTGTAAGATGTTATAAAAAAATAATCTCTTGATTCAATACAATTACATCCATTACAATAACCACACAATTGTAAAGGGGATCTAACTTTATAGCAGCAGCCTCTGCGGGTACGTCCACTTTGACAGTCACATTTCTCCGAAGATCTCAGCAGTAACGTCACATCTTCGCTGTCCAGCACTGTCTGATACACAGTCTGCTGGAAGTCTGTCAGAGAGCAATACACCACCTAGAAGAAAAACACAACACAGGATTTCTTTGAGGAATGCATTTAGACATCCTAGACCTTCATCTAAATATTATGGAAATGGGATATTGTTGTGTAGATGGTGAATTGTGAGTTTCCAGAAAATAGAAAGTGATTAAAATGATAGAATCTGGTTTGACTTAACCAATCTTACCCTGTCATCCTTCTTAGGCAGTTGTTTCTTGATGATAGTTTTAGTTCTTCTAAGGAACCAGTGGGAAATCTTTCTTGCCAAGGCTCTGACAGTCTTCCTCCCTGTAGCCAGAGCACGTTTGGTTGCACTGTGCCTCTGCCCTTGCTCAATCGGATCTGAAAACTTGTTCTTAAAATGTCCTGAGCTGCCAAGACAACCAGGTATGGCCCTAAATAAAATAAAAAATATATATATTAAAGCAAAAAGTTGCAAATCGCAATCCTTTTCACTACAGGGAAGCAAATGACATGATATGTGCTTGTAAATATGCCAGTGACAAATGTATTAATTCTCTCTTAACTTACCAGTCCATGACACACCACAGCTCCTCAAGGTTGTTCTGTAAGATGGTGCCAGTGAGGCCAATTCTGATCTGATGGAAATAGAAGCTTGCATTAAAACCATGGTCCAAAAAAGGCTAACCCTATTATTTTAGTAGCTGATAATTATGATGGTGGCACAATTAAAATAATAAGTAAATAATAACAGAAAAATAAAGCTCTCTGACCTTACATTTCAGATCCTTCATGGCCTGAGTGATCTGAGAGTTTGGATTTTTTATCTTGTGGGCCTCATCCACAACCACAGCCGACCAGTCTATGCTGCGCAGAGAAAAAAAGTATAGTTACAGTGTTAAAGTACCAAAATACAATTACAAAATATACAATTATAAAAAGAATTGATCACATATTTAAGAAATAATTTAAATGTATGTATACAGAGCACATATTTGTTGCTTGAGTGTGTTGAGCATGGTTATTACTTGTTAAACTGTTCCAGACAAAGGCGCAGAGTCTCATAGGTGGTGAGAGCAATCTCAATGCGTCCCTTCTTGATGCGAGCCAGCTCCTCCTCTTTCCTCAGACCGTGGACCACCACACACTGGAAGTGACCCCATGTGTCCAGTTCATCTTTCCAATTATAAAGCACTGACAGTGGGGCCACAATGAGGAACACCTAGACAAGCACCAAAACATGCTCATGACAAATCAATTCTCGCTTTACACTATTGCTGCAAATTAACTGAATGCAACCGGCATTTTATTTCTCCTGATACGTTGTTTTTTGATTCATAATATTTCTTTATATAAGTAGAATATTTTAATACTCACTTTGTTGGGTTTACTTTGCTTGGAAGTCATCTGACTCTGCAGAAACTGAGGCCTGTTGTTATGGATGTCCTCCCATGTGCCAGTTTTGTGCAACACAGCAGCAAGAAAACCAATGACCTAAGGGAGAGAATGAAAGCATGAGAGACAGCCATGTGAAGCTTAAATGCAGACATTTAAATGAGTCTGAAAATAGTTTTGCAGCTGTACTTTGTACCTGTACAGTTTTCCCCAGGCCCATGTCGTCCCCCAGGATACAACCGCTGGAACGCATGTAGTTGTTGTAAATGAACCTGATACCTTCTCTCTGGTAATCCCTCAGGTATCTGTTGATGGTGTAAGGGACTCTGTCTCCAGCAACATCACTCAGCTCTAAGGGGACAAGTAGACTGGGGTCTGTGACACTGCTGGGAAACACCGGTTTCTCCTGGGTGAAGTGATTCAAGCCTGGTCTCACGAGCTTCGAGACAGGTACAGCTTCCTCCTGTCCTTCATCTTTCCTGCTGTTAGTGAAAACCACCCACGCTATGGTATCACTATTATGAGAGGTGGTCAGTCTCTGAATGGTGGATTCTCGCAGGGCACCATCTCTCGGGTCAGGAGCCAGACAACTGTCACCTACATGCCATGTTGCTGTTGAATAATATACACATTTCATTAGTTAACTGTGCTTTGCAACACATCTTTAAAACACAATTCTTACTTCACCAAACAAAGATAGCTAGTTAATTTAGTCTAATTTATACATAAGTGTCCTTATAGTAGACAGACGAAGACATAGCAAAATTAAAATAACATCTTTTTATTTCCCTACTATTATAACGTTAGTAATATTCAGTTCATCCCATCTAAATTATAGCAACGTGAACTTAATCGACATAACAAAAAGTTATAACAGTATTGTTCCCAGGAAATGAATGTGGCTTATTATTAGCTAGCTGCAGAGGCTTTACGTAGAAACAGGGTTGTGTAAACCAGTGTCCAGTTAAAATATAACTTCAGCATTAACATTAGGTAAAGAAAAACAGGCATTTCAAACCTTTTTCAACTGCAGAAGCTGAAGCCATCAGGATACACTGAGAGTATCCTCTTCTTGCTGTGGAGGAAAAGTCACTGTAGCATGCTAGCTAGCTTGATTAGCTTAGCTAACATTTACAGCAAAAGTAAAATCGACGACAACTATAAAAAAAAAACGAACAGCTGAGTTTGTGTAAGCCCTATCATCCTGGGAAAGTACATTTTACTTTAACCTCCGTTAAAGTTCGTCTACCAGCCGACAGACAGACACAGGACCAGCTGCAGCTCCACTACAGCTCGCTCAATGTTTATCTATTTTAACAACCAGTACCGCAGTTTCAACACATTTCACCGATTGAAAATAAAATTAAAATGTCAGCTCATACATAGTATTTATGAATAATGGATGGTTTTCATGGTTCAACGGTCGTTTTTCTTCCCCTTAGAAATTTCACTGTCGGACATTGTGTTGAAAGTGCTGCGTAGAATCTAAATTACATTTCTATATAATAAAAATGTATTCAAATGAATTAAAAAATATACGACAAGGAGCAGGCACTGTGAATAATAACAACAATGGTCTCCTCTTTACAACGACTATATAGGCTACAAAAAATATATATTTCTGCTGCTACCACACAGTATTTTTAAACTCTTATGCTGCTCATTCACAATGTGACATTTAACCTATGTAAGCCTACAACAAACATGTAGATTGTAAAATTTCATCATCCCACATGTAATTCAAATTAATATCATTACACTACTGTAATGTCATCTACAATTACTGTTTGGAACAAATATGCATGTTTTTATATATGCTCTTTTATACTTTTTATACATTTAAATATTATACTTGTATTGAAATGTTTTTATTTTATTTATATGGTCTTTTTTTCTTTATCTTACTCTTGTGTTTATTGCTTGGTAACCTAGGTTTATCAGCACCTGGCTACAGTGGACCTTTTGAACTTTGAGTGTTTATAACCTAAAATTGGGGAATATGTGTACATAATTTCTGGTCTGATTGTAAGGACACAATTTGGCATTACGTCACTGAAAGTAAACATTTGCTAAGATGATTTCTATCATATGATACCAAGACTATTTCAAATACTTGAACACTGTAATAAAAAAAAAGGTCTTCCTTTATGAGGCTGGGCTAAAAGTGTAGAGTGCAGAGGCTGCAAGAGTACTGACACTGAGGACATTCCTACAGCAGAGAAAGCATATATCAACCAATATTGCTCAACAGTAAAGAGAATAACACATGCAAGTCTTGACAGAGGTAAGGAAGTAATTTAGTAAACACACATGAAAGACTTGAGACTTGGTGGTCTGTAGAATTAAAAGAAAGTTGATGAGATGTGTCTGTCCGTCCTCTGGGTTTGATATGATGGCCATCAATAAGAAGCTCACTTTTGGCTGTTGCTATGCAGAACAGACTTGTAAACATACAGTAACACTGTCTCAGTTCTCCATCCCCGATTTGACTTTCCCTAAACGCTGGCCATGGCGCTCCAGATGAAGCACGACTAGGTCCACTTCTCGCCATGGTACACTGCCATACAAAAATGGAACTTTTTGTTCCTGTTTTCTCAACACAGGGAATTTATAGGGCAGCTGCCACAGATGTTCTCATAAAGAAATCCCAAACACTGATGTCAAACGGTTTACATACTGCACTAGATCTCACACACACTTGTTCTCTCACTGAACCGCGAGGGCCTTCTCTGGCCTCATTTACAATAATACATTACCACTCAAGCAGATAGAGTTGGGATAAATAGATTATTGGCTGCAGATAAGAAGTTCTCATCAACAGCCATTTTCACAGATGACTAGTTGATTTTGTTGAGTGACTGTGTCAAGTGGACCATGTTGGGCTTTGGTTTTATTTTCTAAAATGAAGTGTTACTTTTCAAACTTATATGTAGCTTTGATATATAACATGACCTAAGACTGACTGCCCTCGAGTGGATAACCATTGAAAAACTTACAGCAAACCCAGATATTGAACAGAACTGTGTAGATTTCCCCTAGTATCAATAAATACCAGACAAAAAGGTTCCTTTTTTAAAGTCTTGAATCTTCATTCCTTGACACAAAGAGCACTTCTCACACAGAAAAAAATTAATTACTCAACAAATCAAAAGATACAAACACGAAAAGGCAAACATGCATCTATTTAGCTGTTCTTAAAGAAGTACTCAGATCCTTTTCCTTGAAGGTTCAGTGTGTAGGATTTAGTGGCATCCAGCGGTACAGGTTACAACTCATTGCAAGAGTGTAGTAGGAGAGACTAAGGTGGCTGGGAAAAACGTAAAAAATGCGAAGGCCCTCTCTAGAGCCAGTGTTTGGTTTGTCCAGAATGGAAGATTGTGGATCTGATTCAGTAACATGGAGTCTGTGGTCCAAATAAAATATAGGAACTTTGCAGATAGTAATGGCATTCTAAGTGTGATTGTAATTTAATTGCCAGTGCTCGGTTTTGTGTACTTTTGGCTGATGCCCAGGATGATGCTCACTTGTGTAGGGACTGTGTAGGGAGCGCGAGCACAAGCAATGGGATGCTGACTGCAGTTCACTTAACAGCCACTGGTGTTATTAACAACGGAAACTGAAAGTTACATATACAAAAATAAGGTCAATTTCATCACATTTTACACATAATCTCTAAAGACTGAAAGGGAGCTGTTTCATAATTTATTCTAATCAGGTCAGGAGGGTAAATTATCTTGCATCCGCCATGAAATTTCCCCACTGGCTTTCCTGAGACCCACCTGGATTGACTTAAGCAAATTTAAAATGTATTTCTCTGGACAAGGTGTTTCCTGCAGCCATAGCTTTCATCTCAATCAGATTAATTTGGATGAATTGAGGTTTGATTTGAATAAAACATAGTGTTGGAACAGACGTTTGCTAAACTTCTGTTGTTGGTCATAATCAGTGGTTGGAGAGGACGACCTGAATGGAGGTCTTGTCCTGCTCTCAGGAGCTTCGGAAACACACCATCTGTATTCCACCACCTCTCTCTCATGAGTCAGAGAGTCCGCCATGGGCCAAAAGAAATTACTACCATGCCAAAAATGACAGTTTCGACTTCATAAGCATTGATGGCAGAGATGGAAAATTAGGTTGATAATTCATGCTTTCCTTTTTTGTTTTTTGCTCTCTCTCTTTCCAATTCACTTGCTTTTCTATCCACTTCATTAGTTTCTTAATAATTCATTCATGGTGTGGAGTGTGTCTTCAATTAAAGAAATTGAAAACAGTTGGGTTAATATAATGTAACATGTCTAAAATTAAATTAACATATCACACATGGTTTATAATCAAAAGGGCTGTCATGAAGTTTTGGCTACTTTTTCCTACTCTCATCTCTTGCCACTTGACTACAGTAGTTGATCATCGTGCTAAATACAATTGCATTTGATTTAATGTGATAGGAAATAAGAAAGGAAATAATATGTAATTTTTTAATTTTTTTTAACATTTAATGTCATTGAGAATAATAGTTTCATAGCTGAACATTCAGATTTATTTGCTCATGAAACGAAAACAAGGATGAGGACATCACCACAGGGTTGGTGCTGCTGCAGTGCTCTATTCTACTGCTTGAATTTTTATCATTTGATTTATCACACAGAAGAGGCCCATTGAAAGAGTCCTTCCCAAATCTGCTTTACTCGTATCAATGCATCCAGGTGCTCTCTCTTTCCTATATAACATAATTATTGCCCCCCTAACGGCTGCAGAAATGTTCCCCCTTTTTCTCCCCCCTATAGGCTGCCTGTGTCAACCCAAACTGTTCATATGACCCAAACCCTAAACCTGAAAAGCCCAGTGTGTAACATTTAGTATATAGGAGGATATACTGGCAGAAATGGAATATAATATCAATAAGTATGTTTTCATTAGTTTTTAATCACCTGAAAAATAAAAATTGTTCCTCAGAATGAGAATTTTTCTCCACCTTGTTGAACCACCCTGTTTCTACAGTAGCCCAGAATGGACAACTGGCTCTAAATATGGCTTTTCACATTTTTTGTGACTTTTGCAGCCACCATAGTTTTTCTTACACACTTACATGCACCTCCAGAGGCCACTAAATCCTACACACTGGTTCCTAATGTATCTTACTCAATGACACATTTTTGTATCAGTTAATGCATGTAATGGCTTCAATTTGTAAAAATCTACTCTGATTTAAATATTTGTATATAAACCATACAGACCAGCTCCCCACACGCATCAGTGAGCCTTGGCCCATGACCCTGTTGCCGGTTCACCACTTTTCCTTCCTTGGACCACTTTTTTCCTAACCACTGACAGGTGCCATGATAATGAGATAATCAGTGTTATTTACTTCAACTGTCTGTGGTCATAATGTCAGTTTGTGTGGATCATCGTGTCATATGAAGAGGTCACAATGGACACTTTATTGTGCAACCATGTGTTGTAAAATGACAGTGAACCTTGATACCATGATATATTTTTTGTTTTGTTTTGTAAGGTTGTTTTGTCTTTCCAGACCTAACTAAATTTGTGTTAACATGACACTAATTTTGAGAAATGATGTTCATTGCCTCCTTTTTTGTAAAAATGTAATGATCCTTGGACTTAAAAGCATAATTTGTGTCCCTGATTTGTTGACTTGATGACACTCTAGAGATCAGACCAGTCCAGTTAGTAAGACAAATACCCACATATTTAATAGGTTCCCTTTGACTTGCTGGAATTATTTTTCAAATGCAGCTTTGGCTTATTTATTATTCTCTGCAATTCCAGAGATTCTAAAAGTATGGGCTAGTCACTATAAATAGTGTCTATTCAGCAAAGCTGGAAAAATAAAAGTGCTGCAATGCTTTTCAATTAAGTTGTACAAACCTTGAATCTCTTCCAAGCAGCTTTGAACATTATCCAGTTTGTCTCATCCCCAACACCTCTTATTAACATGCACTCTCTCTGTTTTATCTCTATTTCTGATGTAGTCTACTCAGTTACACACAAGGTATACTTAAACAAAAATCACCTAGCACTAATACTTGAATTTTCTCTAAATGTCACAGAACTCTGAGACCTACAATGAAATGAGACATCTGAAATGCAAGAAACCACACGTTTATTGTTCTTACTTTTTTCTGTAATTTGTTACTGTAACTGTCACCTGTGCTTGGGGAATCCTGATACCCCTGTTGACCACTCTGGTCTACAGACAGCTGCGATGACACAACTGATTCTGCTCAGTGAGTTTATCTACAACGTAGAAGCCTCTGATGACCTGAATTTGATGGCTTGTCC